AAAATTGAAAACATAATACGCTTAAATTTGGAGCACAATATTAAGAATTTGGGTCAATAATGGAATAAATTATTACTTTATTGCTGTTTCATATTGAAGCTTAATATTATGATAAGTGAAATTATCTATAATTTATTGCATGAATAAATAATATCAGATAATATCCAATTTTTTTAAAGGTTTATAATCTTTAGGGATGAGCACTATTTATGTAGCTGAGAAGTGATTTGAAATTGTATTCAAGAGTAGCTCTGACCAAAGAATACGTTTGATTTTTACCATAAAAATATCGATCTTTAGGTAAATTTAAACACTTTTAAACCCTAAATGGCACACGGGAAATGTATTGTAAACAAGCAGGTGCGTAGTCAGTTCATCAAATCTGACACAGCGCTTATGAACCAAAAGCTTCAGAAAGAGTACTAGTTAATAATTCTTAAAGAACATGAATGCTTAATCTGCAAATTAGAACTAAGAAACACTTTTAAGGAAATAAACTTCCAAACCTCATCAGACCCCTTCTATTCTAGTGCTCTTAAAATTAAAGCAATTCTTTGCAAAAAAATTCACCCAAAATAAACAAACTGTATAAAAGCACAGAAAAACACAAAAAATAATTAAAATAAAGTCTTTGTGGTATATCCAAGTGAGAGTGTGTGTGAAAGATAAACTAACATTTAGACTTAATGTATTCATCTCTTAATGTCGTATCTGCTTCAAAGAAAGAGATAAAAAAGGGGAAAATAACCTTGTTTCCTTTGAGGAAATGAAAACATTTAAAAATATTTTTTCACTGCTCATGCTTCTTTCCTAATACAACAAATGAAGAACAAGCAAAAGCAAAAAGAAAATTCTTTTTTGAAAGATGAGAAGTGTTTTTCACAAAACTCCCACAATCTTTTCTATCCATCAAAAGTAAATTGTTTTGTGTTGTTATCTCTTCCTTGTTTCTATCTTTATTTATATTTATAAAAATTTCTATTTTCGATAATCAGGAGATGCTCGCCTAGTCACATAATTAGATTTCTATCCGAAAATTTCATTTAGTTCACATATCGAACAAATTGGATATAAAACACCAACGAGAGGATGTGTTTTAATTTCTTACGCCATAAGATTATCTTTAAGGGTTCAAGGATGGTGACTACATGATAGACATACAACAATAGGATGAACGAGAAAAATTGAAAATCAATATATCACATCAATACGGCAAATAATGTGATAGTCAATATAGGAGGATACCGACACTACAATATTCTCTCCATACTTTTTCGATATCGTGATGGAAATGAATGTATAAACGGCAATTCCGAATAGTGAGAACAATTGCGCCTTTTTGATAGTAATTGAATTGTCAATGCATAATTTAAAAAAGATAAAAATTTATTTATTGCAATAAAATCTGGCTAAAGGTTGTTCATTTATGATGTTTATCAAACAAGTTCTTTTGTTTAGAGATGTCACCGAATCTCAGACCTATCCTTTTCCTTTTATGGAACATAAACTAAATTTTAAATAATTTTTCCTTAAAGAAATAAATACGTTAATGTAAGGATACCCTCACAGTTCCTTTTTGATGTATAAAGATACCCCTCACATCCCCTTTAAGTATTAGACATAACAATTCAAATGAGCCTCATTAGTCAGCCAACAAATAATCGCACACACTCCACATTCATATCCAGTAAAGATCAGTTGAAAAATAAGCAAAAAGGAAAAATATCAATGTGCAATTGATAGCTTATAGGCAAGGTTTGTCCATTAACGCCCATTCATTAAAACCACATGAGCATATTTGATTTAGTACATCCAGTTTGTGCTTGAAAAAGAATGTTTAAGCATGCAATGGGGAAAAATTTAAGTTTACATTAAATGGGATGAATGATGTTCATTAATATTGGATCTTTGAGCATCAAATGGGATGAACTCAAAGCGTATAATAATAATCCAATAATGTTGAATCTCTCTAGTGATCGACTACAATACAGTAAAAGATGAGTAATATCTAGTATGAAAATTAAAGTTTTATGGACCATTTAATAAGAGAAATTCACCATCCAAAATGAAGACATTTTAATACCAAAAAAAAACTGTACATTATGTCGGTTAACTAGGTTGAATCTCAAGTGCAACCCAGATGCTCTCTCATTTCTAACATAAAATTCCAAATCCAATAAAAATTAAGCTGTAATACATAGCTTAGTTAAAGCTATTAAAATTTCCAGCGAAACGGCTATAAATCTCAATTTACTTCTTCTTCTGTTTATTTATTTTTCGTACGCAATAAATTTTTGACCTTGTCGGAATCTCTCAATTGTACATTATTGGCTATTGATCAATGAATATTTAATGCGCAATCTTATCTTCCTCAAAGGAGCATTCGAACTTATTAATATTTTTTCTTTTTTCACTTCCATGCTATGAAAAATATAAATGACATGAAAGAAGTCAAGAGTCAACGCTTAATGGTCTGAGAAAATAATGCGATGATGACAAGTGGTCGATCAAAAAAAAAATATTTATTATGATGAACCCAACACCAAGCATGTGAGCAGCAAATGTACCGATGCACATTTAGATTTATAGATTACGAAAGGGAATATGAAGGAAGGAACAATAGATAAATTGAAAAATAATAGTTTTACTCGTTGATCATGTTATTATCGATCCCTTTTAATATTACCATTAGACTGTAATTGTGTGCTCCTCTTACAATTTATGACTCTTCGTTCTCTAGTAATTTAATGGATATCAGTGAGACCATTGTGGAATGAAAAGGATGCGAAGGAATGACTAGAAGGAGGTTCTTAAAAGAGGTTATTGGCTTGAAATTTTTTATGGATTCTATCATTCAAGGATGTAGCTAGACGAAAAGATATTTTCATAGTTTTTTGTGTTTTTCTTCAAAGATCTAAGAAAGGTTTTGATGAGTTTTTGGACTAGAATCCGTAATAGATATTGAACAATGAAGTTTCTTGTGATATTAGGAGAATCCAAGTCAAACTCAAAGTTTGTTTACAACCCAGACTGCATTAGTTTTCGATTTAAGAGTAAAGTACCAGATAGTCATAGAAACAAGTCCCTGTAAGTAAGAGTAAGACAGCATCAACAAATTCTAAAGAAGAATCCATCAATATATTAACTCATAATTTTCAAAGTAAAATTATTGATAGGTCACAACAAAATACTTCGAATCTGTCTATGAAGTTTTGTTTGGAAATCATTAAGCTGCTTAGCGTGAGTTGGCATTTTCCATCCAATGATGTACTTTTATTTTCATAATTTTTCCAAGAAGACCTGTTCTTAACAGGTGGAAACCTTGATGTTTTCCAATCAAATTTTATGGAAATGGGTATCCTTTAAGCAATGTTTAGGGTTTAACTTCTATGGTAATTTTTATGGACAAAAAATATTTGAATTACAAATTTCATAAAAATGCTAAACTAATGTCCAATACTAATTAAAATATTCATAAAATGAGTTAATCTCTTTTATATTATTCTGTTTATTAGATTTTCAACAACTTTGGATGGATATGGAACAGCCTTGATTAACATTTTTTTCCTCCAAACATTCAAAGTTGGAATTCAAAACTCTCACAATCTCAAGGCTAATGTCAAAAAGTAATTTTTTCTGTCCAACATGACAAAAACGTCAAGATTATGGCTAGCAGTCAATTTCGAGACAGATAAGAATTCCAACAAAGAAAGATTCAAATATGCTGCAGGACATATCATGTGTTGATGACTCGCTTTTTCTCTTAATATATGAAAATTACATCTTGGCAACAAATAATGGATTTTTATAAGGGAGGAACAATCACGGCCTTCTTAAGGCTTTTTCTACTTATCATGTTCAATATCATTCACTTATGAATGTGAGCATAGTTAAAAAGGGGGTCTTGAATCATTTGTGACAGTACGAGGTTGTAAATGGGGGAGGGGTGTTATTGTTAGAGCATATGAACTTTAACTCGAGCTTATTAAAAATTCAATGACATCTGGAACATCAGAAAACTAGAACTGCTTTGCTTGCCATCATTTATAAATGATCCCCAATCAAAATATCTTTTAAAGTGACAGTAAAGTTTGTCCAAAGGATAATAAAATCAACAACAACAAAAGGAAAAGCAGAGCTCCATTAAATGCTGTGTCCTAGAGGATATCATATTGAAAAATGGACAGTAACATTAGCGTCATCTAAAGGATGGTGAAAGTGAGTAAAAAGTAATAATAAAGATTGATTCAGTGACATCTGACACGTGCTGACGACCAAAAGAGTGAATTGCATAATTGAAAAAAATTTATTCTAGGTCAGCTGCATGATGGTCTTAATATAAACACACAATTCAAATTGAACTAAGTTCATTCATTACTATCATTTTAATTCATTATTTTCGTGTTTCGTGACATTTCCGAGTGCAATTAATTAATATAATAGAGCTCGAGGAAGCAGCGAGAAATGAAAATCATTTCTAATGTAGTGCATAAATTTTCAAACATGCGATCACGCCCCCAACGCGCATAATTTGCCGGAAATTTTGTTGTTCTACAATCGTGATTTATATTTATGCATTTAATTTTTTTGTAAGATTTACGACTGTTTTAAAATAATTCTCTTCATGGATGTTTTGTTTTGGGCATCCAGTCGGTTATTACTTTTACTTCCCATAGCATGCGATTGCTAGGTGAAAAATATGATAGAAGGTTATTAATTGAATTTATTATTTCTCTTTTTGAGTAAACACGCGCACATTACTTTAACTAACCGACTCATTAAAAGTCTCACTTCTTTTGTTTGAAATCTATTTTTATCAATTGAATTTTTTTTTTACTTTCTTGTGATGTGCCTGAATAGCTATAGTTGGAACAGCAGCATTTTAATTGTTTACGCAATTAATTACCGACATTTTTAAATGAAAAACATTTTTTTTTTTTTGGTTCGTGTGAAGAATTGCCAACACTAATCAACCAACAAGATGTAGACTCCAAACTCACCGAAAATCTAAACTCCTTCTCAAGAACATTATCGTTAACCACTTGAATCAACCCCTCTTGAGTCTCTTCGCTTGTTGGTAGTAACGGAACTATCAAGACATATTCAACTGATAATAAATCCTTTAAATACAAATTGATCTTCGATTGTAGATTTGTTGATTCCGTTGTTGTTGATATACTTTCGAGGAGTTGAAGGAGCTTGAGAGTATCATACACAAATTCATTATTATTGTCGTGATCTGCATTCATTTCTTTTCTCTGTTTTTAACTTTTCCTCTCTCAAACTTGATACTTAATATTTATTTTTCACTCTAAACTTTACAAGCTACTACAGGTATTTTATACTCTAAAAATATTAATTTAGTTTCATCTTTCAAATTTTATTTTTTTGAATCTTCAAAACCACGCTTTTTCATTAATTCTGCTAATTTTTATGTTAATTTATTTTATAAGTATTGAAAAAAGCAACACACGAGATTGAAAATTTATCGTCTTTTCCTTTCGAGCATCAGAAACAAACTGAATTTTCTCTGAGTGAGAATGGAAACATGTGATAAAAATAACAACTTTGCCAACGAACAGAACGTTTTCAATTCTATGTTAGTTGATTATTTCATAACATTTTTTAAACATTTCAAATGTTTTTTTTGAATTTTAAATGCCAGTTGAAGATTATTTTTTTAAAGTTTTATAAATAAATATCCCTAAATGATACCTTTAATACTTTTTCATAAATAACTGGAAAATTTCTTGAGTATGCAGCAAATAACAACTCTCAACAAAAGTAGCTGCTTCGTTCTTAAAAGTCATCATCATCATTATCCATATTTTGTAGAATGTCAGTCGGCATCAAACCTAAGAATCAAGATTGAATGAAACTGATTAGAAAGATATGCAGTAAAACTTTTTTCTAGGGCTCAATAATTTAGCGAAATCTCACAAATCCTGAATCCCTCCCTTAGCTATATATTTTGAGAATAGCAATATTAAGTTTTTATAATTCACAAAAGTGGAACATGATTTTTATTTTCGGAACAAAGTTATTCCATGAGTATTCAGAATACTGCAAGTGATTACATGCCAAATAAATAAATTTAATAAAGCATGGATTTATCCCCAGCGTTTAATAAGTCAATTAATATCCAATAATTCCTAACCTACAAATATTAAACACTTGAAATCTTAAAAGAAAAGAAAAATGGGAAAAAGGTTTGGACCTCCTTCTCATCCTCATTACCCTTACTAAGACCCTCATTTGAATCAGATGTGCTTGACTGCAAAGTCGTTTCTGTTGTGGCACTGTCAATTGTAGCACTTTCCGTAGAAGATACTTCAATTTCATTTGGAGAAGCTTCGTTATTCATTGATACAGTTGAACTTTCACTTGATGTGCTCGGTTTACATGCAGTCATGTTTAACGCAACTTGCGAGAATGTATTGAAATCATTCTCAATTCGATTATTGACCTGAGTAATTTGTTCATTTGTGAACTGCACAACTGAATGTAAAATGGATGAAACAGCTGAAAAAACTGTAGAGACAACATCACTAGAGTTTCCAGTCGAATTTAAGTTGGCCAATGTATTAAAATTTGATGAGACTGTTGATAATGTGCTTGATACATTATTAAGGATGTTGCTAACGAGCTGTTGAGCTTCACCGACATTATGAATTGATTGAATTATAAAAGGTTGAACACAGTTTGATGAATTTGATGTGGTGCTGATTGGTTCCATTGTTGTTGTTGTTGTTTCTTCCATCAAAGTTGTAACTAAAGAACTCTCATCAACTGATGTTTTCATGACATCAAGATAATTATTTAATTCCTCCATGGCAGGTGTAACAATTGGATCATTATTGACGTTAATTGATGACACTTCCGTTACATCTTTAATTGTATTTAATAAAACTTCAGAAATTTCATTTTGTTCATCTTGAATTTTTGATCTTAGTTCATTTAACTCATCGCGTATGTCTTCACCTGCCAAAAAATAATACTTGAGTATTTAACGAAATAATAATAAAGATACGATGAACTTACCTTTTGAAGATGTAACCGTTATAGCAAACAATAAAAACAAGAAGAACTTCATTCTTGCTGCGGTTAAAAAGAAATTCACTCTTTACTTCACGAAAGTCGACGACTGAATGTCAACAATATTTATATTACATGTCCAATTTATACCAAAATACAAGATGCTCCACAAAATAGAAATTTCTGAGTTTTTATCTCTTGTTAATGCTAATTAGCATTTCTAAGAAATTACTCATGCAAATTTAAAGGTAGAGTGAAAGAAGAAAGAGCATATTGACACGTGCTTGTTTCTTTTCGGCTTTTGTCTCATTCATTTGTTGATGTAAGAACGGGAATGAAGAGTTTGTAACTGCATTGAGATAGTTATTATAGCGCATCATGTTTGCTTTTAAGGTAGTTGATATTGTGAGTGATTGTTATGTCAAAAATGGAAGGAGGTCATGTGTATGGAGGACTTTGGAGATGGGAGTTGTTCGGTTATTACATTCGAGTTTTATAGAAGATTAGGAAGGAGGTATATTTACAAAGAAAGATTCAATTGACTATCAATGATCAAGATCTAAGGATCTACGTCTTATTGTAGGTGAGGTCCGAAATGGTCATGTATTGTAAAGAGTTAACAGGAATGATATCGAATTCATAGCGGAATAACTCTAAAGAATTGTTTTAAACTATTCAACTTTACTCAATCGATGTATGAATAGTTAATTCTAATCGCAGTAACCTTTGCATTTTCATTCATTTTCAATTTTTCTTATTTTTATACAAACATCGTTAAAGGTCTCAATTAAAATTAAAAAGCATAAAAAAATGACAAATAAGTGGGCACTAACGTTGGCAGTCTTTATTAATTTCGGCTTGGGTGTATCAGTTTTCATCGCACCGGATAATAATCAGTCAACATATATTGGATCAATTCCTGGATTGCTTATTTTGATTTCTTTAGCTGTGCTTTTTTCGGAAGTTCAATTGATTCCAGCCAGATTCAAGCAAGAACACACATGGATATTCTTCTTCCTTGAGCTTATTTTGAGTCTTGTGGTGCTGGAATTTTTCATTGTCAAGGTGTGGACGAAAATTGAAGGATTAATGTTCTCGATGATAAAATTCCTTGTTGGACGTGGTAATTTGTATGAAGAAATGGGAGGTAATGGCTTTATGTCATTGCTAGTATCCGGAATATCCTTATCTTTCCTTCTATATGCTATTGGTGCCACAAATTCAACTGAGACAATTATCAGAAACATCGCTGAAACATACAACAAAATTGACGGTCTCTATATGAGGATTAAACAGTACTCGTCAAGCCAAAGACCTTCACATTTAAACATGGAACCTCAAGTGATGTTTCAAGCTTGTAACATGGAACCACAAGCCGCAAAATGTGAACCAGCTCAAGTTTATCACTGCATACCAGTATGCTCTCCTGTAACTCAGCCGTATAAGAGAAACCCACAATGTCCAGTTCATGGTGATCTTGAAATTAATCATCAAGTTCCACAAACGCCTGGACGATTGAATAAACGCACCAATTAATTTGTAGCGGTTGAAATAAATTTAAAGTGAAATATTTTTGTAACGGATTTTTTGTTTTTAAAAATTTGAACTAAAATTTTACTCACGTAATTAATTGACAGCACCACTTAAAAGCTTGAGATGGGCTTGACATGTGTTCAGACGCTCACAAGATGCCTCAGTGCTAAAAGTGACAGGAGCAGACTTTATGGATGGCAAGAGATCACGAGGAAGACCGAACATCTCGTGGATTAGATTTGTTGAAAAGCACGCTAGAGTCTTTAATATCCCAAACTGGCAGAAGATTTCTAAGGATAGAGCTGTCTTCAGATGATCTAGACGCGGCAATGGGCCCACGTGCGCCTCAGCTAAGGAAGTAAGTAAGTACCACTTAAAAGCTATTAAAAGATATCAACTGAAAATAAGCTGAACCTAATGACTAATAAGGCAATATTGATAGCTAGAAACTCAGTTTTTGTTAAAGGAATAACTGAGGAGATTGACACTTATGCAATCATAGGAAGTTACAGCAAGTCCAATGTTATGGCAGCTCTCCAATTCCTATACTGATACTATTTCTGTAGATTGATTTGATGGAATTGACATCAAAATATAAATTTTATGATTTGAATTAACAATGCCAGCATCTTTTAAAAGATTGCAAGACAGAAATCGGAAATCAAACAATAAATGATTCTTTACCTAACTTTATTCACTTAAATTTATTTTTTGAAGCATTTCGAGAAAGATAGGAAAGATATAGATCGAGGAAATAGTAGGTTCTGGATAATTTTTCTTAAATAAATCGATGCATCAAGAATTTATTACGATGCATTAAGGATACATATTAATGCCATGTAAGTTCATTACTGAAAAAAAAAAATTAGAGAAAAATCAATCTACAGTAGCGTGCAAAAGTGAGTGGACAGAACAAATTTTTTAATAATTTCGTTCAAAAAGTATCTTCCACTGAACGAAATCACTTCAAATGTTCACAGTATATCTAATTTTTGATGAGATTTCATATGAAAAACAAATTTTGTACTATAATTAAGTAATTTGAAAAAACCGTTAAATATTCAAAATCGATAACGTGCAAAAGTGAGTGGACAACTTTCAATGACAAAAAAATTTGTTAATAAGTATGTTATAGTAAAATTTCAAGATGAAAATCAAAAGTATTGACGATTTTCTTAATTTACGTTAAAAAAATTTCCACCAAAACCACGTGCTTTCTCGACTTTTCTTAAATTCAAAATGGCTACTATTTTTAATGACTTTTAAGTCTTAAATCTTAATTTATTTAGAAAATTAACTTTCTGTCGTGAAAACTTTAAACATTTTGATTCGTAACGCATAATTATGTTAAAATTTAACATTTAAAAATTACTTTCTGCAACAGACATTCATTTTAAACAAATTTTTCAAAAATTTATTTTTCATTATTTGAGAAGCTCATTTGACATTCTATTTGACAGCTTGTTACTTGATGGATAATTTTTTTAGCAAACTGAAATTACTTATGGGCAATTCTACGAAAAGGTTTCATGAAAATAATCCGTGTCAATTGCATGAAATTTTTTAATTATTTTATTTTCACTTGTGCATAGTTTTTCAAAAATCTAATTCTCATTTCCTTTTCTATTGGTTAAACTGTGAATTATGATTACATATGCACTCAAATTATTTAGCTATGGCTTGAGAAATTCATGGTTTTAATTTTAATATTTGGTAGTTCTTTTTGGAATTGTCTTCAAATTACTCTGTTTCACTTATGAAATTTTTCACAGAATCCAAATTGCAGCTTAATTAAGGCTTCCACAAATATGATTTTGACATCGTTTTGAAGCTTTTACTTTAAGCTATAACTTTGTATACTTAGTATTACTGGAAATTTTACCACCTTAAAGATATTAATGAAAAAATTTTGGAAATATGGGCGAAAAAATTCATGTGAAACAGAGTAATTTTTCGTAGAATGTAAATAATTCTTTAATTAACCATTTTTAATATGTTTGGGTGAGAACAATATGTAGATCTCGGTAAAATCTACTATTAAATACATGAAACATGGAGAGTAATGCAACTGATAAAGAGAAATATAGATTTGGAGACAAATTTGTAGAAAAAATCATTCGTAGAATCGCCCTTATATAATGTTTTACAAATAAAATGCAATAAATTGATACCAAAAAGTCTTATATATGCAAAGTATTTATCAAGAATTCCTCAATTTAATGTTCTGTACTGTGAGAAAATCGACAATGAAAAAAATATTTTTTTTGCATAATATCAACTTTTACTATAATAAACTATGTATATTCTGAAAGCTTATTGCAAATGCTATATAAATCAGTGAAGTCTAAATAAATTAAGATTGAATTATATGATATATTTGCTTAAAAGTCATTAAAAATAGTAGCCATTTTGAATTTAAGAAAAGTCGAGAAAGCACGTGGTTTTAGTGGAAATTTTACTAACGTAAATTAAGAAAATCGTCAATACTTTTGATTTTCATCTTGAAATTTTACTATAACATACTTATTAACAAATTTTTTTGTCATTGAAAGTTGTCCACTCACTTTTGCACGTTATCGATTTTGAATATTTAACGGTTTTTTCAAATTACTTAATTATAGTACAAAATTTGTTTTTCATATGAAATCTCATCAAAAATTAGATATAATGTGAACATTTGAAGTGATTTCGTTCAGTGGAAGATACTTTTTGAACGAAATTATTAAAAAATTTGTCCTGTCCACTCACTTTTGCACGCTACTGTAGATCGTCATTGAAAACATTAAATTTCTAATCTGTAAACACGTTTGATTTATTGTGCGCTATAAATTTACAAAATAAGGAACAGCGAAATGAAAAGAGTTGTAAGAAATAAATGCAACTAATATTAAGATGGCTTATTTTCTGCATCTTTTGGCGGTTGTAATTGCTGTGCTTCAGATTGTTGAACATTAACTAGTGACGTTACAGCTGTTTGAATTCCATGCTGCCAGAATTTCCTTACATGAGACATTTTCTCGGTTAGACTTCTAGCATCTAATAATATTGGATCTCCTATCAAATCAGGATTGCTTGATGATCGTGCTAATGGTGCTATGCCTGATGGGTACATCACAGGTTGGAAGGGTTGAAGGGAATTGTGTTGACTACTTGATCTGTTATTTAAAAAGTCATTGTCATTAGCAGTTGCATTATGATTAATATATATATGAACTTACCTGCTTTCATAGTCTTCAGAATGTCTAAATTTATCTATTTCGGAATTAAGGATAATCATATCTCGATGCTTACTTAATAGCTGCTTCGTCAATCTCGTTCGATCTTTGTGCAAATTTCTCTTATCACTTAAAAGCTTTTCTATTTGAATTTTATACGACTTTTCACGTGCAAGGTTTTCATCTTGAAGCTTCTTAAATAATTCTATGGCAGAGATTGTATCATTCTTCATTCCACACAATGTACGATTCTCTTCTACTAGCTTATTATAATCCGCTAATAAGTTTTGATACTTTGTTTGAAGATCTTCGGACTCAGTTTTCATCTGTCCGTGGGCATTCTTGATATCCGATACTGCGTGTGTATTCTAGAATTTATATGGATTCTATTTGAATTAATATTATTTACAAAGTGTATTGTGATTGTAGAGAAATTCTTACAAATAACTGGAAGACTTCTGATTTGATCATTTTTAGCTCCTCTTCTGTTTTTTCCAGTAGCTCTGAGAGTCCTCTTTCTTTTTCCCTCAGTTCCTCACTGCCAGCTTTAAGATCGTTTAACTATGGAAATAAATTAATAGTTATTATGCAATCAAGATTATCAATCTGTGAATGGATATCTACATATGGCAAATCCAACTCAGATGAAGCTTGGAAAATGACGTGATTTGCTATGTCTGAGTCAGAATTTCCAGAACTCAGAGTCTTGGAAATTCTTAAAAGCTCTATTAGTTTGCCTGCCTGACTACATTTTTCACAGATATTAAGTTCATATTCTTACTCTATGATTGAGTGCTCTATTTGATTCTCGTAAAGCTTCATTTTCATTTCGAAGGTGATGAAGGCTGTTCTCATGCTGCAAAATTATCCTCGTCTGATCCTTCAATTGTTCTGTTTTTGCTGCAATTTCATCCATCATCTTCTGTTCCCTTTTAAATGCATCTTCTTTTCGATTCTTGATTTCATGTGTTATCTCGTACGCGTGCATCCTCCATCTATAGGAAAATGATATTTACAATACTGTTAAATTATACATAGTCACAATACTTACTTCTCTTCTCTGGTTGTTAAATCCTCTAGTTTTGCACTTTTTGAATCTAGTTCTGATTCGATGGCAACTAATTTTGCTAGGTTTTGATTGAGTTTGTCTTTCGAAGTCGTCACCTCATCATTTTGTTCCCTCACTCGCATTTCGAGAAGCGAGGCCTTACTCTTCAACTCGCCAATAATCTGAATGGATTTAAGGCACTCTTCCCTCAATTTACTCTTCTCCTCGAAGGCAGTTTTTTGAAGTTTCTCATACTGTAGCGTTTTTCTTTTCAAAGCTTCCGTTGCTTTCGAACTTTCTAGTGATTTGTTCATTAATTTTGTTTTAAGATCATTAATTTGCATCACAGTTGACGATGTACGCGTTGGTGAATTTTTAGCTGAACAGTTACATGATTTCTTTAGCATCTCGTGTTCCGTTTCTATTCGTTGCTGATCTACTGACAGTTCAGATATTCGTTTATTTTTATCACTTACGTCTGATTTGAGATTCTCTATTTCCATAAGTAAGCTCCCGTTCTAAAATGAAAAGCAGACTAGAATAAATAAAACTAAGATTTGACATTAAGTTAAAAAACTGACCTCAAATTGAATAGTGTCCAAATTAACTTGCAATTCACCGAAACGCGCCTCATAAGACTCAATAGTTTTCCTTAGAATATCATTTTGGCTTTCGAGTTCTTGCATTGAATTTTGTAGTACGGCAGTTTGTTTCATAAGTTCCTCATGATGTGTACCTTGTGTGTGAGACTGAATAAGTTGCTCAGTAAGAGCTGTGATTTCTGATTCTAGTTCTTTGATTGTCGTGTCAGATTTCATTTTTTGGGATGCCATTTTATCGAGATATTCTGCTTCCTGTAAATTTAAAATTAGTTTATGAACTTTGATGCTGTCATGTCACATGTCAGTAAAGCTTACAATTTCAACACAACGGCCACGATAATGCTTCAAACAATTTATATCTCGCTCACGATTGCTAATTTCCTTCTCAATTTGCTGTTGCTGTTCTCTCTGTGCTATTTTGAAATTTTCCAACTAAAATTAAATAAAAATTCATTTAATAAGTTAAAATTAAGTGCAGGAAGTTAAACTTTTTTGTATGCAAATAAAACAAAAGTGAAAGAAAATGAAAAAACTTCTTAAGAAAATTTTTCCCTCTAAAACAAAATCCATGAACCTTGAAGAATGTGTTTTACATGCAATCGCAAAAGCACTTACAAACACATATTTTCACGTGAATGGTGCTAGAAAAGAAATTCATTTATTTCCAATATTATGTCTCGCAAAACCGTGACTAAAGTAATATATTCTTCATTTATGCTTTTGGAAGGAAATGATAGGAAAAGTTTGAAAAGGTCTATGCTTGAGGAATACGAGGTTGTGAAGCATATTTAAAAAAAGCTCGACTTTTTGAGACAATCCTAATTGGTCTAAATGTTAAACTCCCTAATTGAAATACATGCTTAATCTGGCGAGTATAGCCTTAATCTATTTGAGTCTGCATTGATATCTAAGATCAGACAAAATATGTATGTTCTGCTAAGCGTTAGCAGGATTGAGAAAGTTGAACCTCCCATTGAAAAACTAATTGCAGCTGATTGCTAAGAATTTAAACTAAGATTAATAGACCGAAACCTAAAGTTATGTTGAATTAGCTAGATCCTAACTATGATCTTGATCAATTTAGACCAAAGAATCTAGGTAGAATTCTCTTACAGTTTCTAAAATTACATCATCAATTATATTGAACAAACTACAAAACAAACTTAAGGAACTGAACTGAATTAAAGGATATAACTCATTATTTCTTGAATAAACTGCATTCCACTAGATCAAACCGAATAAAATAAATCATTTTCATACTGAAAAGCCGCTATAACCACAAATAAATAAGGAAGAGAGGGAAAAACGAAATTTATTGAATTTGACGATATTTTTCCTGTGACATAAAATTATTGTCATCCTTGAAAAGTATGTATTGCGATCAGGAATGTGTGTTAAAAATAACACAATTGAGGAATAGTAATAAATTTCTATTATAAATGTATATTTTTCCTGTAGATTGATTTTGTTTGACGCTTGCAATGAAAGCAATTCACATTCGAAACCTTCAATTTTCGTTGGATTCCTTTTGCCGCACATATATGAGCTCTTGTCACGAAATCGTCTTCAAAAATATTATTTTTTCTAGCTTAAAAAATTTAAACTTAATTTTTCATTATTGCTGATTGTTTTTTGACGCCTACATCTGCAATAATTTGTAGTGAACACTGTCAATCATTGTTGTGGAAATTCAATGTTACATAATACAGTAAAACAAATAATATAATTTAGTTTAAGTCATGAGTCAAGTGATGTTGTAATTTTCATACTGTGCAGTATTGAAATGTGTTTTTATACATCGATGACACCTCAACTGTCTGTTTCATTCATTGTCTGATGAAAAATCTTTAACTTTTACCTCCAAACTATCGATAAAGATACACAGTCTTAAGCTCTTAAGAATAATGAAACCGAAGACATTTACCTATATCAAATGTTCAAGTCATTCACAACAATCGATCCAGATCAATGTATCTTGTCTGATCAATTCAATACAAATGTTTGTCAAAACCTGATCCCCACAATTTTTCATTGTGTTCTACACATAACATAACTTTTGCTCCACACGAGATTTTTAATCAGCAAATATTTTTTAAATATAAGCATTAATAATAATTTCTAGACATAATAATAGTTAAGATTACAAAATAAAATTATTAATAAGAAAGTAAGTCACTAAGTTGGAAGTCATTATTGGCGCCAAACTTTACTGATAATAAATGCATTTGGTATTTAACGACCTTAAATATTTAAAGCAAATAAATAATCTTCTACATGTATAAAACGACAGTTCTCAACCCTGCAAAGCATAATGCTCAATACAGTTTAATTATTCTGATAAAAAAAAAAATTCACACAAATTTTCTCAATGCACATTTCCTTGAAAATGACCTAAGGTTATTTAAATTTTATGCTATACGATGATGTGAATGAACTGAATGAAAATAAACTCAATATTGTATAATGTAAACAGAATCGAATCGCACGAATAGATTTTCGTTCAAAAAAATACATTCACATATAAAGCTGTGAAGGCGAAATACACAATCGATGATTCTTTTCTGAGATAATGTTTCATTACGATCAGATACAGATTGCTCTATCATGCTTGAACCTTGAAATATTTTATTTGTGCTTATTTACGGTCAAGAAGATTAAGTAGTCCCTTTAAAGATCTTATGAAAAAATATAAGCCATTCGTTGGATATAAATTGAAATTGGATATTTAATGGGTTAATTTTATCGGCTATAAAGAGAAGATCTTTCACTTATGAAGTCTAAACTTTAGTAAAGGAGTTGGACTTGGTGTCATGCAGTTCTCTCAGGAACGAGAATTAAAACAGAACATAGTTCGAAAGCAATTTTAAAGCTTAGTAACAATCTTTCAGTGCGCAATTTAAGCCTCAATCCTCCCTAAGAATCTCTATTTTGAAAAAATATAATTTTTTTGATAAAATCGTTCCTGAATAAACCCCAAACCATACATAAAAATATAAAAAAGAATTTTGCTATTAAAATTATATTGGAATTTTCAATTCTAATAAAATTCACACGAAATTGGGTCAAAAGTAATTATTGTTGTGCGTATTGATATCTCTTTTATGCTTTCCACAACTATAAAATTTTCATTTTGAACATGTCAGTGTTGCTTCCTGAACACACATATATTGTTATGACATAGACACAAAACTTTATGGATTTGTTGTTTAATAGAATTCTTAAAAACTTTATTGAATGGTTTTTATGCAGAGTTGGTACAGAATTGAAGACTTCCTTCACATAATCACCTGGATGACCTTTATAATCCTTTATTACAGTTTTTTTTTTTTAAAGGTTCAAGATTAAAATGGTGTTGCTCTTTGTAACAAGAATAATAATCACTTGATAATAAGTTGACGACCTTAATTGCTTACAGCATTTAAGGTCTTGAATATGCCCTTAACCAGCACTAAGCTGGTAAACAAAACCAACACTGAATATTTCCAAAGTTCACAAAGAAAACTTTTACAACTTAAATTGAATGATTTAATCTGCATGATAAAAAATGAAATTTCCTTTTCATAATGATTCATTTAGTTCCAAAACGAAAGCTCAACATAAAAAATAAAATCGTTTTCTCATCTGTTGAATTTCACCTTATTTTCTTTCATTACTCGACTTGCTTCTTATTTTTCTGTACTTATTGCATTTATTGAATTTGAAAGCCAATTTTTTTTTGATTGAGATACGAGAATGAAGGTTCGTAAATGATGTACAACTTTTAAGATTTTGATATAGGTTGGATCTGTGAAGCAATTCAGAATATGACAGAGGGTGTGAGCTACAACGCTACATATATTAAACGTCATTTATGAACAACCCCAATAATGCAAAATATAAGCATAAGTCGCTGCAATACAATTTATGATACCATGAACATTTCTCATTTAGGTAAATATTTGATTTTTTAAATAAACATTTTCATTTTTGTACCGTACAAGTTGATGATTTTTTATGTAGCTCTTCCTCAATCACTCAATGAAATGAAAATGAAAAACAATTTTTTGAAGGTAAATGTTTCAATTCCATTTAAATCAAGCGCGCTTGTCGGATTGAAAGGTCATTAAGTAGATTTTATAAACATTATATTGCTCCCTGTCATGTACAATCGTAAATTTTTCTTAGTAATTTAATTTTATTCACCTTTCATAATAATCCATGCTTAACATTGTAGGATTTGTAACTACACAACAATCATAAATATTGAATTACATAATCATCTGGCTTTCTTTATGTTTGTACCATAAATTAAAATTTCGCACACTTTTTTTGTCTAGCTTCTTTAAACAACCACTGAAGGATATCCTTTTCTAATTCCACAAAGAAATTAATAAAATATGCCACAAGAAGCAAACAAACATCAAAAAACTTTCACTGCTTTATTAGGTCAAAGTTCAAAGAAAATGAAAATTTATGTCTAGCACTTTTTATGCAATCAACACTTGAGCGCGCGAAAATTTCATCGAGGAAAAGCTCTACTCTAATCCGCCTAACTTATGGCAAAGGCTATCTCAGACTAAAAATCACACTAGGGCAAAGAAATATATATTATTCTATATTCGATGGAAAAAATATGTATATACAAAAATTTTTATGTTTTAATATGAAAATTTTATGCTGATAGTGTATGCTCATCGCAATACGATATAAATACAAATATACATCATAATGCCTTTTGATAGTAGTATTTTATTTCGAAATGTATTTTCCTTTTACCACGTTTTTTGTTTACTCGCTTCCTAGAAGCACATCGACTCGTGGGTTAGGGGGTACTTATTTATTTTTATGCATTCTGGTTGATTCTAGTATTGCAGTTCTTATTAGACTCTACAACAGCCAGCTTGGGTGATTCAGGAAGAAAAATGTATTCGTACTTTATAAACTTCCAGAATCTATCATTGACAGGTTGTAGCATGGAATCTTATATCTTAGAATCTAGAACCTAAAGTAAGGTTCAACACTATTCACAGAACTGCCCTTCTATAATAAGTCAGTACATGAAGCAAATTTTATTCACAATTGAGTAAAATTTTACTACAAATACCGATTCGATCACGTCAAAATACAAACGAACGTGTAGCATAAATGTGAATTTCATGTGTTAGAAAGGACATTTGTTTTATGAAAATATTGACACAGAAACGGAAAGAAAGAAATTTCAAAAAAAAATATTCTATCTGTCTACGAAGTTTCTTTACTCGTAAGTATGTCTGTGTGTATGAAAATATGGCAGCAAGTACTGTTGATGGAATATGGATATAGTGGAAGAAAATAGATATTTGCAATGTATTGGAATGAAAGTACAATTACAATTGCAAAAAATCTCTTGTACTCCGCTTTCTGTTATGACATGCTGCTGAATCAATCGTAATGATTTATATTCATGTACGTGAATGATTTATTTGTGTAGGACTGAATTGGAAAGAAAATCAGAATTAAATTATTTATGCAACTGATATTTTATAGATTCAACTGTATTTGCTGCATTAATGTCTGTTGTGTTGTTCATGGCTGCACTTTTAAGTATCAAGTTCTTAAACGAAGTTAATAAGTAATTAAGAAATTTGGTGCACGAAACTAAAGCTTGATTTTAGGTAACTAATGTTGGATTCTGAAGATTAATTTGTGAAATTTTGGAATCTGGCAGTCAAAGTCTACTTCTAGACCAATTTATTTTAGAATTGAATAATACTTTTCCTTTTTAAGTACCAATATAGTAAGAGGCCTAGTTTAACTACCCGAGAGGGATAATAAAACCAAATCAATCAATCAACTTAATCCTTCAATCAATCAATGCCGCATTCATAAACTAAAGTTACTGTTCAGTGCAAATTAATCTATTTTGTTGGCATTCTGCAAAGCTTTGAAGTAACATTACTATAGCTTAGTGGTGTGGTGTAGTGTATCGAGACTTTTTTGTGAAAACGTGGTTTCAATTCCCACCAGATCCCGATCTTTCAACCATTATGTGATGTCGATATGAACAATGATATTATAATTTGAAAATCTTGACCAAAGTATCAAGCTACTAAATCATGTTTCCAATTTGTGGCCAGTTGACTTTCACATTTCTTTAGGTCAATTGTCACATAGTTTCTGTTGATTACAAAATTTCACGCTTGATACTAAATTTCCATTCAAAATTCAAAATGCGCATTTTATTCAACAATTTTATAAAAATAAAATTAAAATCCAATTTCGTCGAATTTTTCTGTTTATTAGCAACAAAACTAAGAATAACAGAACTTATAATATTTTAGTGTAGGGTAAAAAATGATTGTAACCGCCTAATATGTGCTTTAACAACATAAACAAACATGTGAACTCATTATCGCTCTTCTATTCAGGAAACAAAGTCAGAGCAACTTTTAATGTGATTTTTATAAACATTCACACAAGCATACATATTCATTCACAATATGCAGGTGCAATTCCTTGATTTTTCCTTTTAAAAAACATAGTTTCATTTTTATTTTATTTATTTATTTTTTTGCGCTCCTAAGTAGCGAAATTCTCTGAGCATGTGTGTGATATAGGATCGAACATTTGTAGAAGTATTTACACATATCATTTGCATATACACATTCAAAATAGTTGTGAATTGAGTCAAGTAAATTTATTGATATTTGATGATTATCGATTTTAGCGTGAAGGAATTTTCTTAGCTGAATTTTTTGAACTAAAAGTGAGTTTTAAATCATTTTGACTGTTTCTGGTAAGATTTTATGAGTTTGCAGGATAATATTTGTGGAATAACTAGTCAGGAGCCAACTGTAAAGCTTCAAAGTAAGTTAGAAATTGACATGAGTATTGATTCCCTAGCAGAAATTTACTAGTAATTTCCTAGTAATTTACTGGATAACTTTCCATTTGCTACTTGCTATTTACTAGTCAAAATCCAAGTTCAAATCATCGCCAAAGACCCGCATTTTCACTTGCTAATTGACTAGTCAATTCGCTTACAATTTAACTAGTAATTTACTAGCAAATTTTTAAAAAAATTAAATGAATATAACCGTTGATTTCCACGTGTTCTTTTGATTTTTTTTATTTGTGTAAATTTTTGTAAAAGTATTAGTGTGTACTTAATTAAAGTTAATTAAAGTACACTAACACTATGAAAAAAATAAAAGACTTAATTTAATTAAGTCGAATACCGATGAACACCCATGACTCGCACGCAAACCTGAGGAAGATAAATAATTAATTGAAAGTCACATACAAATTTGGATCGAGCTTATAAAGGTGATTTCTGCGCGCTCTTGTGAAGTATATGGCAAATGCCAAATTTAGAACAAAATTTTTTATGACGCAAAAAAATCTTTTTTTGATGATTTTTCTTAGGATTCGAACTTAAGAAGATTTGATCAAACATTTTACATGGTAATTTGCTAGTAATTTGCTAGTAAATAGCGAGTGTAATTTTCTAACAGTAAGTTGTTTTAATAATTACTAGTAAATTGCAAGTAGTAAAATAGAAAGACTAGCAATTTGCTAGTTAGTCTCGCTAGGGATTGATGCTTAGTCGAAGCAATTCGGCTTATTCATACAAAATTCGTGTCAAGCACATCTTTTAAGCTTTCTATTATCAAATGTTGGATTTAATAGCTGAACAACTTCACTTACTTTCAAAGTGCAACAAGCTTAACTTCAGACCAAGATATATAGATGAGCTCATACAGAGTATACTTGACCATACTCGACCATACTATTTTTTGTGTACTTATACAAACAAAAATTTTTAAAATTTTCTATTTTCAAGTTTTCATTTAAATATCGACAGATGCAACAACATTTGTCTTAAGTCAGTTTCTTTAAATTATAGCAAAGCATTTGCAATACTCCTGTATCAACAAAACTTAATAGAAAGTTGAAAATTTTGCAAAACAAAAATTGAAAATTTTCTTTTATAGTGTTAGTGTTTTTAGAAAATTCAAATTTTTGACGTTTAAAAACTGCGATATTTTTGTATGAGCACATCTATATATCTTGCTTCAGACCAGCATACACGATCTGAATAAATCCCAAAATTTCTTCATCTTCAACTTAATTCTCACAAATGTCCATACTTGCATTAATCTATCTTCATACAAGTTCATTCACACATCTATTTTAGTCTTACTTGAATCTGATTATTTTTGCAGGAACATCAGACACATTTATTAAGTCATTTGTAATTAATTTATTGAGTGATCTTGAATCACTGCTATTATTTATTGTCAGCATCATCAGATACAATATTCAATGAAGATGATTAAGTGTGAATGCATAAAACAATAGTCATTGTCGTTTTTCCAAGCCTAATTTGGAAAAGTGGCAGTAATGATAAAGGATAATATTTAATTTCACAATTAAAAAAATTGAGTTGGTCATTGTAATGTGTTCACGTCGTGCATGAATAAATGAATACAATAGCTTGTGAGATAGCAGTAAAGAAAAAAGTGTTAAAGCAATTAATTCATTAATTTATGAAATGATTTTTTATGTGATAATTGTTAATTGCAAGCTTAACGTTTTTTCATTAATGCACGGTCAGTGATCTCGAAAACAGTCGGTTTGTGATTTTTAAATGACTTCATATAATAACTGAATGGAAATTAGATATGATTACATTGAAGTTGTTCAATAAGCACAATTTAAAGTTGAACAAGTTTTTTTGTCACTTGATACCTACTTCAAATGATCAGATTGATTGAAAGCAAATCACACATTTGTTCCAATTATATTTGACAGATCAAGCATGATTTCAGGCAGTTGTTTAATTTAATAATAGAAACTAATTAGCTAAGTACTATAAATAATAAGATTTAGAGAGTTTATGGAAATAATAAGGTTATGTGAAGGATGGCAATTAAATTTAGCTGCTGTTTGTGACTTTTTGTGACCGCTAAATTAATCCTTAACTTCAGAAGCAAAGCTATGACGTCTATCAATTAGATTATCGTAATATGCAAGAATAAGTAGCATTGTTATTGTTTGGGTGCTAAAATTTTACTAAATTAACGGAGTTTGATTCTAGGAAATTGATCTAAACGTATTCGGATGTTTTAATCATAAAATTTTTTGCACTCTACATTATTCTTTCAGGGATTGACCTCTGGTAGGAATCGAACAAAGTAATCACAATAAACGGATCACAGATATACAGTCTGTTTCCCAACCATTCACGCTACAGAAGTCTTACTCTAGCACTTGCAGATTCGCTCGATACACAAGATTCTACTCTGCTTCTACACCACAACTATGCTCAAAAAATGTTTAATGAAAGTAAAAGCTCTTGATGATTGAAAAATTCTAAAAATCACAGGAAGTGATGTTTACTAATAATTAGAGCTGCTATTTAATTTACATGGAGCAAAATTAATGAGCGAAATTCGAATGACGCAAATACTTTTTAATATAAGATCAATTATCCTAACAAAACCTGACATATAATTGTAAACTGATACTTAAAATAATTTTAATTGAATAATCCGATGAAGATTAGTGAAAACGCAAAATCATTTAAGCTGCTTTTCAGATCAACCAAAAACGTTTAAGTAGCAATTGCTAGACTGTCATAACTCATTAGAATATAAATATCAACCACTAAATGTCATTTTAAATTGAGTCATTATCCACTTAACAATGAGAGCGATTTCGTGCAATGAGAAATGTTTCATTCATGAATAAAATAAATAAATATTTATTTATTAACGTCATTATGATTAATGCACGATTGTACTCAAAATTGATTTCTCTTTCTCACAAACATGCAAAACGACGTAGACGGTAAGGGGTTTGAAAAATTTGCATAATTTTAACTTTTTTTCATGACATCTGGATTAAGGGAATAAAAAATGAAATGATTTTTGGTTCAATAAATCTTTCAAATTTGCGATTTTTCATCAGAAGTCATTTATTTGTGACAAACAAAGTTTGTTATGAGGTTTGAAGAGGTCTTGAGATTTATTTTATTTTGCATTATTTGTGGTAATCTTTATTGGTGTCAAAAATTCCATAATATGCTCAATATCCTCAACCTCAAACAATCCTTAGCTATTAAAAATATCTATTTTATGAGTAAACCGCTAATAAATTTTCGCAATATGATTTAGAGCTCAAACCTCAAATTGATGACATGAGCAATTCATTAAAATGAAAAATTTCATATTTTTATGATTTTTTTTTTTTATTTGAAAGATATCGTTGTAGCACTTGCTATTGTTTATATTCTCACATGTGAGAATCTGCTTCTTATACTTCTCATCTTTTATTATTTACATTGGCCTAGTGCCAGCTACGAAAGTTTTTCGCACTATTGCATGAAGGAGAGACCAAATGGCAAAAATATGACTCACCGTGCGTTTATTCTTTTGGATCTCAACAATTTCTAGCAGATCTAGTATGTCCTGGTTTAACTCAAAAACTTGCGATCGTAGCTGCAAATTGGCATCTCTTAAACGATTTAGCTGCTCGTCTTTTTGAATTGTCTAAATTATACGAAATATTGCAAATGTATTTAACATATTAACAATAATTACAACTTACTTCCTTTAAGAATTGCTCATTCAATGTTTTTACTGCCTCAATGTCATTCGTATGCATCTGAAAGTTTCACTTAAATCGTAAGTAAGTGTGTGAAAATCTATAAAAATTACTCAAGCCATGAAAACAGGCATCGCAAAATTCCTTAAAAGTTTAGAAAAGGTCACACACATAAAATCTCACTGGAAAAGCATGCAAGGGACATAATGAAAAGCTATTTCTTCTCAATTAATTTTTATTTTTTTAAATTAATATTTCTTAACAAACAGGAAATTAAAATTAAGGCTTAACAGATTAAAAACTTAAATTTAATTAATTTTTTTTATCGTACATTATTGAAATTTTGAGCAAGAATAAATTTTAATTTTTTTTTTTCAATCTTTTGTAGCACGTCTGTTGATGCCTACAATTTATTTATTTTTATGCGAATTTGTTATTAAAAATTATAAAATCGCTTTTTTTGTTAATGCCAATTATTGTTAATTGAAGTGAGTGACGTAAAGCAAATAGAAAGATACTGCAAAGTATAATAATACGCATGAGGTTAAATTATTAATGGATTACTGGCATAATAATTAATTGGAATTTTCTGTTAGATGATTCATCCTAGAATTTTGGGGTACTTGGTCAAAATCCTGTTATGATATCAGGGGTTTCTCAGGATTTTCGAAATATAAATTAAGGAAATCAATAAATTTCTAAGCAATGTCATACAGAGCTCGAATTCGACTCAAGACTTTCATCGATTTTGTATGACGGACTCGACTCCATACAAAATTTCATCGACTTCGAGCTCTGAATTGTTATGTATTGATCCAAAAAATACTTGCAGCTATAAAGGGAAAAAATAAGTCAACACTACTACGAGGGTATATATTCTTGAGTTGAAGAATCTTAGAGTCTTGAATTTGATAAATCTAGAATTTTTGGATTGACCGGTAATGTTCCGGATGCAAAACGTAACATCTAATTTGACATCCTCCCAATCTTTTGTTATTCTTTTCTGATTCATCAAACAATTTTCAACTTGATTAGAAATTAATTAATTTTAAGATTTTTTTGGACCATTATTAAAATTATTTTACTCGATCATAGAGCATTAATAATTACTTTGCGTGTCTGGTTCAATGAAGAATTTTATTCAAATTGTTATTTTCAGCACGAAAATTATGGAATGATTTTTTTAACTAACAAGCTGAAGTACGTCATTCAATGTTTTTGGCTTAAATTTGATGGTCAAATGATACACGTGCTGTAAATTTTAGATTGATTTGATTTAAATTGGATCGCTAGTTTATTACGTGAATATTAAACGAGTTTTTCGTGGCTGGAATCATTCGAATTGGACGAATTATTGTTGATCAAGTAAAACTACATTATCTTCGTATCACATTCTTTATAAACATCCATTTGTACATATTAAAGGTCTATTTGCATGCTTAATAGTTAATTAGATTTCTTTTCTATTATTGAATTAATTTTATTGCCTTACGATTAACACTTAATTAGCATTAACATGCGCATTACAATTAAATACCAAGTTTGACTTATAGGTCGATTCTATGTTATCATTGCACTTTTCAATTACATTTATCTCATGCCGTGATCTATTTTTAATGATTAGTAACAAAGACACAGTTTCTTTTACATTACGACATCCACTGCGTGTAGTACGGCGGCATTTTAAAAATGGATTTCTATTTTGGGTTGTTTAGAAACTTCTTATTATGAAAAATAGAATGTCTAGAGTTGCTCTTTAATTCTCGTAGAAGCATGTCAACTTTTACCGTACAAAGGTAAGTGGGTCGTTTATAAATGACGTCTAAATATTTTTTTAATACAAAATTAACATCTGAATTCAAAGAATAATTCAATTATAATAACGTCACTTTTGAACAGCCCCCAAATACAATTTTCTTCTCTGTTATTTTCTTTCATCAAACGCACTCTCGTCATTAGAAAATAAAAGAAAAAGCATATCATCCGTTAGGGAAACAAAAAAAGCATTCATTGGGTCAATAGACGTTAAAAATATAATTTATGGCTTTTACTCAGACATGAAATATACATTATAATATTTCATTGCCTTTATGAACCCTTCCGTACGTAAATTGACAATTAAATTGATGATTTATTTTTTTAATTTACCAACTTCATTACTGAAAGTTCAAAACTGTCGTATTTTAAATGAAAGAAAAATACATTTACAGGAAATACATCATAGCTTGCTAATTTAATGCTACTCCTTTCAAATTAATTACTATTTCTTTTCATGAACTCATTAGGTTTTATTTTTCATTGAAATGTCATATGAATGCATGCATTTGGGGGTTAATAGCTTATGACATCTTATAATCAGTGCTTCCTAAGCTATGCTACGTGATCAGGTGACTTAAATCATTTGAATTTGGTTTTGATTGACAGCTAATGTAGTTTAAAGTAAGAATGGAAAAAGCTATGTGGGTTGGAACCTAAATAATCTACAGATCCTCATAAAACCGCATCTCTGTGGTTACACTATGTGTGCATTCATACGAACATCGTTATTAATATACAAAGTTATGAAAACCTTCACTCATCGACCCAACATCATCATGATCATCATCGTTATAAGATGCAAAATAAGAGACATGTGTAATGCCCACGTAGAGGATATTAGCTTTCACTCACAGGCACAGCATTAATGAAAGAAAAACTATGTTACGACATCAAAAAAAATGTTACAAAACTTCTTTTCTTGTTTTTCGTACACATAAAAAAATAAATAAAAACAGCATCGCTTAAAAAATGTTATAAAAATATAACAAACTCCAAATGTAAGCATCGTATGCAATCATCATCATACACCAGCTTTCCAAAACTTATTCTTTAATGACTTATAGTTTTTTCCACTCACTGAATTTCCATGCTTAAGATCTTCGATAGCTGTACGCATTGTTGAGATTGTTATTCTCATGTTATTATTCTGGAAGTGGTTTCAGTATTTTCTTTATACGTCGATTCCTTTAACTTTTTTTTAGATTCGATTTCTTACCTCATCCTCCAACTCTATATTCCGTTTCTTCATTTCATCATAATAATCTCGATGATTGGCAAACTAATGGAAGAGAATCATTAAAATTCTTTAGTGCTATTGACTTTTTTGAGTGCATAGAAAATGCAATTTAATATCAGACAGCTGTGATACATAACAAATCACATGACACTCTCGTGTGTGATCTTTAAGTTGTCATTTGAAATGAGAAATGAACGTAATGAAGGCTTTTCAACGCATTTTAATTGCCGTTTTATTTCAATACGTATCGAATTACATTCTGTCTGCCATAAATAAGCTATAACAGAGATCTATTGGAACACGTTTTAGGAGATTGAATAAGTTTTAACTACTTGTGATCATCATGATTCAATCAGAGCTCTAAATCTATTTTTTCATACAATATCAAACTAAATTTGAGCTCAGAATGTAATCATTATGTCCTCTTAAGCAACTCCCTTGTTCATTAGTACACCATTTAACCCTTTATAATGTATTGCGTGACAAACGAATGATAATGTGCAGACTATCAAAACCTGATACTCACTTTACTTCTAGCTTCCCCAAGCTCATCCTTCAGTTCAGCATTTTGCCGCTTTAAAAACTGAATTGACTCATTGTGATATTGAATGGCATTTTTAAGTTGATTAGCCTGCGAATGAGAAAAATAAATAAAAACATGAGATTCAAGTATGACGATGAAAATTATGAGTTGTATGTGCAGTGGCAAGGCAAGCACGCAATGTCGACGATTGCATCGTATGAATTTTATATTTTTAATTTCACGTGTTAAAAATAGAAACGGAAATCGTACATACAGGAGACAGTAAAATTTTAGCGTCAGAGTTGTCAACAAGATGTTTTAGAATATGCTAATTTGAATGGATTGAGTACCGAAAGGTAATGCGATAAAAACTGGGTTACTGGCTTAGTAATGAAGGTTTTCTCTTTCATGATTCTGACAAGCAATTAAGAGATTCTTGTTAAAATTTGAAGGTCTCTAAAATTGCGAATTTGATATCTTTGAGCATAAGCAGTGATCCTCATTAAAATCGAGTGTAGCAATAAGAAGCAGGATCTTCATTTGACAACCCTGAATTAACTAAGACATGCTATAGATTTATTCACAAAGCAAATATTCACTTGATGAAGGAAGGCAACTCACCGTTTGACAATTTTTATCCCGCTCGATTTGGATGGTCTTTAAATCATTTTGAATTTCACAGATTTCTCTATCTTTGATCCGCAATCTCTCCTCTAAATCATTAATTTTTGCGTTTTTATTTCTTAATTCACACTTTCTTTCTTCGAGCTCGTGTTTCCACTCATTAATCACGTCACTTAAGGATGAATGTCCATTTGTAAGACTGCTATTGCCACTACTTATTTCAGGACTACTTGTACCGCCAGTTAAGTCAATTGTCTCTGCGGATATCTCTTTGCCCAACTGTAATAACACCATTTTTTGATAATTAGTTGATCAGTTCATTAAGTATCAACACATAAAGTTTCAAATTTCCACAACCGTAAGAAAATTCCCGACACAATTTTCTTCAAATACTCGTCTCGACTGTTTCAAACTTACTAAAACGGAGCGGAGAGAACATGAAGAATTTTCAGATCAAATCTCGAGATTCTCTCACTTAAAAGAAGATGATTTTTTTTTTAAAAAACTGTAAAGAAAACATTTCTCTGAGAAAAATCAAGAAATGAAAATGATTTTCCACAAAAATAAACAAAAACAGATCAAGAGAAAAAATAAGTAAGAAGCGGCAATTGAGCCTTGATTTTCTTTTTTCTTTTCTTTCAACCGGTTTAAATTTACATGAAAAGTAACACTCGGTGGCATGAAAGGTGATTACACCTTAAAAGAGATATTTAGAATCGAGAAAAAAGGAAATTCCTAGCGGTTTTGTCGTGGTGTGAATTGGTGTGAATTCATTTAAATTAGGTGTGTTAGGATTGTAGCTGTTTGCTGTAGACATGTGTTATTCGATGATTAAGAAATAAAATTCAAACATGACATGAAAGCAGTTGGTGTATTTTTTTGACAATTTTTAATTTAATTTTACGGTCTACAGCAAGTGACAGCTAGTATGTCTACCGTAATGAAGACTTTCAAATATCATTGTATATTCCAAAAGCTAAGGACGGTTCGTTTACCAAGTCACGTAGTGAAATTTTTGGAAATTCCACGAAATTATGACACAAAGTTACGATAGGAGCAGACGTTAAAGAAATCATTAATCAGATTTAATTAGAATTTGATGCCAAGCCCAAAAATTTATTGTAACGAATTAATATAAAATTAATTCTAAGAAATCCCCAACATGTCGCTTGACTTTATTCTTTCCACATAATCAAGTATGTATTACACATTATTCCACTTAAACAAGTCATTCGACCCTAAATTTGAAACCATAAACATTTAAGAAATAGAAATAAAGCAATTTACAGCTTACATCCATAAATTAAAGAGGGAAAATTAAGAATCTTATGTTGTATACAAACAACAAATGTAAAAGTATCGTTAACGGAGGCATTTCCAAGATTAACCATAACGCACGTGTCATAAGAGATCGTTTGTAAATGATGTTCAACTAAGAAGTGGGTCTTGAGCTGTGAGAATCTCCATAGAAATGAAAATACATGAATGTAAAGGTTGAGGAGTCCAAAAATGACATTTTTGATTGGACGGCATTTTTTAACAGCCCCTAAACATTGATACTGGAGAATAATCCCATAAAAAGCAATCGTTACAATTCTTTTTTTAAGGATAGTCTAGAAACACAAGCTACAATTAAAGTCTCGAAGAATAAGCAAATTTTATAGATAAGCTAATTAGTTTAAATGAATGATTGACGTAATTATCGCACACTTCATCTTTCTCAATGTTTACATCCATTCAATAGAACTTCATTCAGTTAGATTCCACAATTTATAATATGATTAGAATCATAAAAATCGCTTAAATTGTATTCGTTTCATCTCTCGCATGCTGAATCATTTTGCTTATTTACATTTTGATTGAATAACGACGCAAACTAATTTACGCCTTGGACAGACATAGCAAGTATTATGTGGGATTTTTTTATATTTTTTTTTTAAAGGAAGAGAGCTGGAAAACTTGTTTATAACAGAATCTATTGATAAAGTAAGAACTTAATAGCGAAAATGACACTCGGGTATGCATTAACTTGATTTTATGACTTTACAGTAAATCTGTACAGATGGAGATCTATATATTTTTTACAATATCATAAAAAGGTCACAATTGACGTCAAAAATTTAGAATAGAGCGCATTTTTGTGAATCTAGACTAGGAATATGATGTCACAGCATTTTTACACGCTTTTGTATTCATTTTAATAAAATGCGAGGAATTTTTACGTTATTTTATGTCACATTTCCAGTTTTCACATGATTTCTAAGTCCACTGGCATTTATGCGAAAATTATACTCTTAAATTACGTCAAAAGAAGTTTCATTAATGATTTTTCTGAGTCGTTTCAATGTCAATCTAGATATAAATATTTTCGGATATGAAACATGTCATTACGTATTTAACAAAATTACAGTCATATAGAATAATCATCAAGTGAAGCTGATTTATCTCCAAAATATTAAACTCAAATAACCAGGTACGAGAAAATTACAGCCTAGAATATTAAGCATTATAATCTACCATTTATAATCAGCTAATAAACATTCGACAGATCAAAAATTTATAAAAACCAATAAAAAATCTTAAGTAAGCATTAAAACAAGTATACTTAAACAGCTTCATAGTAAATGCCGCATCTATTAATCTTACTTAAAATGTAAGCGCTCTCTAAAATATTTTAGCGACGTTTACATAGCGTGTAATTTGATTCACTCGGTTTGGCTTGAGATGGCTAGGGTTCGTTCGTTTATGATGTTTAAAATTAACGGTTTTTTGTATTATAGGAAGGATAGAAAGAAGATGGAATGCATTACAACATAATTGAGTCAATAAAAGCGAGTTTGATAATCATTAGATTAAGTAAGTGACGGAATTTATCCATCCTCAAAAAACCAAAATATTGCGATGATGTCTGTACATCACACCTGTTAATTCCATTAAGCAATTTACTTCTTATTATTTTTTCGCGCATTTTAAAAAATGAGTGTTTTTTATGGCTTTAAAATATTTCTCTCCATGTTCTTTCCGTTATAATATACAGTCAGTCATCAAATAAAATATGTGATTGTTTGATTTGCATTTGCGTCACTCACCAAATGTGATAAAAACTGAGCTATGAAGCGCCTATCACTTTCGTAGCTTTTAATTTTAAAACAGTCCCGTTGACTATCGAATTCCTGTTGATAATTTTCTGGCAGTTTCGAGTTATGAAGTTGTTGTATGTCTACACTTAGGTTCTGACTATTTTGTTGTGATTCTACGTAAACAATAAATTATCATAAATAAATAGTTAAAAATGACGTCGTTTCACTTACCCAATAGCTTTACTTTTAAGCCATCAATCGTACTTTTTAGTTCAGCATTTTCTTTTGACAATTTATCCACATTCGTTTTGGTTGATTTCACTAATTTGACTAATTTGTTAAGCACATCAAATTCTGGTTTCAGTTCATCCTCAATTATAGCAAGATCGCTGTGATGAAGCTTCAGTTCTGTTTCTTTCGGTGACTCATTGTTACTCTTCTCTAATACTGAGCCCTCGATTTTCTGTATCTTATGCTTCAAAACATTCAATTTATCTGTTTTCAAGTTCCTGTCGTGTTTCTATTAAAGGATGAAAAAAAAATAAATTAATATTATTAAATGGATGACGAAATGTTTAATCAGCTGTACAACAAAAGGGCGTTACATTAATGATGCTTAGCTACATTGTTCGATTAATTAATGAAGCCATCAGGCTTATTGAGGTAAATTATTTGTTATAAAATTGAATAGAGTAATTAAATCAGTACGAAATATGCTCGAATGACACAAAAGGTACGAGCGTAAAACGAATTAAGCGCCTAGTCGACACCACGCGAGTTCCATTCCGGATTATTCGCTTTGTAGGCACCTTGTGCCTTCCAAGTTTGTCATTTGAAATTGAACAAAGTGACTAAAGCATTTATCAACAGCCACGCCTCAATTTGTTGCTACTGAATGTAAAACACTCACATTTCTTGATTCACATTTTCGTAGCATTATCAATTCATCTTCAAGTTTCGTTATCATTAAACGATTACAGCTGTTTTCACTTTCAATTTCAGTCATCGTGTGCTGAAGTCGCTCCAACTCATCTTTATTAATGTCATCATAACAATCAAAATTCACGTCTGACATTGACTTTCCAACCATCGAGTCCTAAAGAATTGTGCATATATGAGAAATATTGAGGAATTAGTTCAAGTTTACATGTCTTTTTTCGAAGCATTTAAATCAAAAAAAAATGACATAGATGGAAGTAAACAGATAAATGGACGTAAGAGGAAAGTTAAATATTGAAACAAGTCTGAGTTTGACAGTTGTACAAAAAATTATAAAAGTAGCATATGATCAATAAGGAAGTTGAGTTAATAGCAAATAATAATAAAAAAATAGTAATTTTGTTTTTGCCAACCTGATCAATATCGGATAGGGAATAAAATGAGTCGCCTTTTGCAATATTGTTAATTTTATGTGCAGGAACTGACAGGTAATTGTTTCCATACATTATATTACTCTCTATTAAATCAGCACTACTTCGACTTTGCTTGAGTTCCGGCGTTCTTGGAGGTGTCATCATTGGAGATAAATTCTGTACGAGATGATCAACAAATTAATATTTATAATAAATAAATCTGTCATGAATGAACAATTCATTAAGTTCCAAATCCCATTTGAAATAATTTAATTAAAATATTATGATTATTTAAGTATTTATAAAAAAAAATGCAAAGTAATGAATGAAAATAAGGTGATGTGAGGTAGTTCTTACAGCTCAAATGTTGCGCAATTCAAAAAGTAATGAGCATGAAATTTGTTTTTGGATATAAAATGTTTATTTAAGCGCATTTCCCACTGAATTATTAATTTTTGTTTGTTAAGAAATTGCGTCGGTTTATTCAAACCTAATTCACACCTTTTGTAGTCAGTCTCGTATGATTGTGATTGAAGAATGTGGTGCTAATTTTTAAGAGATCTTGAAAATTTTCATATGTTTGGTGACATTATTGAATCGATAAATATTTTCATAAAATACATTGTAGATTGGAATTGTTCAATAAACTAGATATGATTCAAAAGCTTGCAGATAGGGGCTGTTCACTTATTACGTAACGCGAAAAAATGACTTCTTAGACCCCCCCCCCCCCCTCGTAACAAAATTTATATGAAAAAAAAAATTTCCTTGTTTGAACCGTAACAAAATCTTAGACCCCCCTCCCCCTAAAAGCGTTACGTAGTAAGTGATTGGCCCCATATGAACTACTACCATAGATCATTGCCACATCATGTTTATCGCTTGAATTTTAATTAAGTTTTGAAACTTTGTCGCCAAAATATATTTCCAAAAGGTTTAAACCTAATTTTAACAGTTAAGCTACATCTGTTTTGAGAACTACTGGATATCTGAGAGAAATCAGTTAACATAGAAAGAGAGTGACCAAATCAGGTTGAAAATATAATTTAGATCCATGAGAATGTGTTCAGATCAGATTGAATATCGCGATTTGTCAGGAATTCGACTTAAATTTTCGAAAATGTTTCATATACAAAGTAAGTATGTCTTATGAATCACAGCAACAAAATCCAAATTCTTTTGAAATTAAGTATTTTAATTTAATTCAAATTTAATGTCTTCAAACATTCGGTATGTGATATGATAAAAGAAGAGTGAATGAAGACCTACCACAACATATTTTCAGACTAAAAGCATGCGATCATTTTCTGAATCATTCATTCCGTAATAATAATCAGATGATGATTAAGAACCGTAGAGTAAGTTTTATGTCTGTTTCTTTTGAATGATTAAATGACCCCCTTAATGGAATAGAACTTATCAAGAATGGGATTTTTGAATTTTATTGAACTAAAAAACCCAACGATAATAATGTGGAATTTCCATTAATTAATGCTCATAAAAAATTGTCAAATGATTTATTTTTGGGGTATGCAAAAAATGTGCTAATCACCGATTTAAAATGGTAATTCAAGCTGCCATTCATGAATGCTTAATACAAATTGTGTGTGAAATTTCCATTAACCATAAATAATTGTATCAAATGAAATCCCCATCCAAGAAGCAAGAACCCGTGATTTTTGAGTATGTGTGCAGTTCCAAAACATTTTAGTAATACAAATAATTTTTAATGACAAATGATGTTACGAATATTAGTATATGATTAATTAATCGCTTCGAAGAATGAGAAGCAGTTCCTTTAGTGACTTTAGAAATTCTTGAATATCCTTAGCTTCGCATTTTACTTCTTCCAAAACGATAGAATGATTAAAGACATAAGAAACTTCACTTTTCCAAGGTGGTATTTTGACAGAAATATTTTTGAGGTCTCGATGACATTTTTGGTGCTTTATGTACAAGTGATGAGTTCTCTCGTACAGGTATTCTAGATAGCGAAGTGCCACCTGTTATTTCATCCTAAAATGTTAGGAATTAAATAAAGCTTTTGATATGAAAAAAGGCTATAAGATCGCGTGGAGATTGAATGTTTAGTAAGTTCAATGTCAGATATTTTTAAGTGTTTGCTTCTTATTCTTCTACGTCAAAAAAATGTTAATATTTACAATTTGATTCCCCAAATATAGCAATAACCAACAAAAAAAAAGCAAGCATAATAATAATAATAGTACAAAAATCACTACCTGTTGCTGATTCTTTGAACGCCTTAATTCACGTATTATTTTCTCTCGAAATTGTACTTTTCGTTCATATTGCTCTAACTTCTCCTCCAATTTTGTAATCTTTGAGCGCAAATGTGCTATGTAATCATGTTTATCAGCTATCTCAAATACAAGCGCTTCCATATCACTAATGTTGCACTATTTTATAATGAGACATTTTTATTCTCTCTTAGCCAATATTATTAAAAAATAATAATTCAACCGTGCGAGATAAGCTATTCAAATATTCAATTCTATTTTTTTATCACGTAAAATTTTTGCAAAAACATAATAAACGGTATTCAATATTATTAAATGGCTTCGAAAAGTTTTAAAAAATAAAGCAAAAAATGGACAATAATACACGCACGCGATCTAAATTTGCCTGATAAAATAGGCTGGCTTATCTAAAGTCTTTAGCAATTCAGTAGCACTGACCTTTTGAACGTTATTGATCGTGTGTTTATATTCCTTGATTTTCTTGTCTTTTTTTGCGTTCTTTTCAGCCAATTCTTTGTTCTTCCCTTCAAGTTCATTTATTTTAGTTTCTTGCTCTACCTAAGATTGATGTGATATACGTAAGACTCAATGATTTTACATACTAGTAGCATATTGTCCATGGAAATGAATTTGGTAAATTGGATCGAATAAGAGCTTGGTTTAAATTTGGTTGTCTGTGACTACAAACTACTGTGAATGTTAAATCTAAACAGAACAGTCACAGATGCCAAACCAACAACTTATATCCAAAAAATCAAGCAAAGAATGCTCCTGGTAGCCCCAGCTTATAGTATGGCGTTAAATTTCATCTGAAAATATCAGGTAAATCCCAAGTCTTAACTATTTACGATTTTTAATCCATAATTAATATCAAAACAAATCACTTCAAGTTGATGCTTAAGCATTGTTAGTTTTAAATGAGACTTAAGTTTCTATTGTCTTCACTAGTGTATTTTGGTCCGTCCCGGCATCCAATTCATTATTCACATGGAAAGTACGCTTTAGTCTACAAAATTTCCACTTACAATTTTCAATCGAAGTTCCAAGTCTATATTTTCATCTTTTACTGACCCTTCATAAGTGCTAATAAAGCTCTCCTGATTGCCATCGTTAAGTCTTTTGGACTCGACTTTAATTGCTTCCTTTTCAATTTGGAGATCGTTTGCTTCAACATGTTGATATTTTCGACACGTGCTCTGAAGGTCATTGCTATTGTTTTGATGACGCAAATCGTTCGGTTCGTCGTTTGTCTTATTTTTGTTATCAAGCCTATTGATGAACATTTTTCTGGAATGTCGAGTTTTTTTATGAATTTTATTTTATTTGCTTTGTGCCTTCTTGTTTTCTTCATTTTTTTGAAGCATTGCATTACGATGAGTCGTAAGAAAGTAGCAAAAAAATAATTTATTCTCATTTCTACTTACTCTGTGAGTTCCATGGCAGCAATAGCGGTAACTTTGGGATTTTCTTTTTTAAGGTCACTTCCAATCGTTGCACTAGTTTGTGTTACTGATTTATCTGCTGAATTCTCCAAGGCTAAAATCTCTCGATCTTTACAGTCCAATTGTATTATTAACTCATAGATAAGTTCATGTAGAGTGTTCACGTATTTTTCATAAATTAATATCTGGTTGGAGGGAAAAGATAAAATAATAATAGCATGAACAACCCAAATATAGCACAATATCACTTCTTCTTTTTATCTAGTCACATAGTCAAACAAGTAATAAAAAAAATTTTATGACTTTATTAGCACACAAGATTCTCATTATTGTTATTAAAGCACACGATATATTTCAATATACTCCCCGAACGCTCGAGGATCGCGATTAATCTGTACACACCTTTCTATTTTTTTTTTGCACAAATTAACATGACATTGGTAATTGTATTTTATTATTATTTTTTGTTCTGCACAGTTTTGTTTCAATTTGTATGTTTTTTCAACGAGAGTGACTAAGTTGTAATAAAAGATTAATCGGAATCGAGCACTTAATTTGTCTCTCAATTCTCATACAATTTTGTAATGACACTAGTTTTATCATCACAGAAACACTTAATTTTAATTCTTATGCTCATAAGCAGAGCAGACGAATGCATGCATCATAATTCACATCACTTTCTAATCATAGAAAACAAAAAAAATTAGAATGAATTAATCGCTAGCTCACAAAACATATGTGTATAAGTGAATTTCATCACATTCAGTACTTTATGTCAGTCTGGGTATCGAATATCAACACATTTTGAATTTGCGTCACGAGAGCAGACAATTTATTCCAAAAAACAGAGTTTTTTTTACTTCGTGTAGTTTCAAAGATTAACAACTTCACAATAACTAGTAGGAAGCCTTCATTATGGCTATATACTATACTATTAAAAGATGATTGTGGTTACCTCTCCATAGTCCGTAGATGCATTTTCCAGCATAACATTATAGTCTCGCTGCAATCTGTTTATGGCTCTTTGTGTGGTTTTTTTTTTTTGTTGGAAGTACAGTAATAATAATATACATAGAAAGAGAAGCGAAAAGAAAAAAAGAAACTGATCAGTGTCAAGATCAACAAAATGGGCATAACAGGAAGTACGGGAAGTTGTCAAAATTTTTGCAACATATTTGGAAATATCTCTCTCTATTTGTGACAAATCGAGGACGAATTGTCAAATGATTAATGATTTAGTATTTACTCGACAGCTTTTTTATATTCTTCACTTAAACCATCCAATCGATTATCTTGACCTTCTTTCTGGATCTTTGTAATTTCACTTTTCATATTTGAGCGTGTCTTGAAACCCGAAAACATGTCGTAGATCGTTTGAAACATCATTTTTTAATCTGTGTCTTTATGTTAATCGCAAAACGTGATCTTTAATTTATTTTGAATTAATCAGCATGGAAAAAATATGTTTACTGCAATTCAAAAAATTATATTTTAAAAATTGATATTTACTCGTATTTTCTGTGCTATTTTACACGCTTTTATTTTCAACAATCTCTTATCACTACTTTATCAGTCTTTGCATTTTTAAGGTAATTGGCATTAAATGAACACTTTTAAGTATAAAATAAATTAATTTTTGCGCGAAACGACTTTCTTGCTTGATAATTCAACAGGCACTAATTTTCTGTTTCATTCGTCGATATTCAGTTCAGGAATTATTTCGCGACACTCTGTAAAGTTATTTTATTAATGCTGTGTGCTTTTGTAATCGTTTCGTTCTTTATTAAAATATATGTTCAAATTTTAACGTATTTTTGAAATTCAAATTTTATGATCTTTTAAGTTTTTATAATTAAATACACAAGCTATTACCGGCTATTTTAGATAGAATAAAGAAGCAATCGATCAACAGGTCTTCAAATAATGAAAGTAAAGACCAGAATAAACATATTCATGATGAAAATCACCCAATAGTCCATAGTTCATGGTAGTCGACAGCATAAAAGAGCTTCACAGACTGAAAAAGAGAAAACATACGATCGCACAGCTAGAAACGTAAATCCCCCAAGCGTTTTTAAATTGTGCGATCAAGTCGTTATAAAAAAAGTAAATTCAACTTGCTGAAAAATAAAGTTCAAAGATACCAAATTGGCTCAGTTATGTTAAATTTTTTATTTACATTATATTTCATTACTTCCTTTTTATAATTTTTCAATTTTTCTTCTTTTTCATCTCTGATTATCAAATTTTAACTAAATTATCATTTTTTTTTCATACTAAAACATTAAAAATTAATTAATTTATATCATCAATAATCATAAAAAATTTAAAAATGATTCAGCATAATTTTTTTCACATACAAGATGTCAATATTGTGAGTCATAGTGAAAAAATGCAGCATCCGTCAACGGGGGGGGGGGGGGGGGGGGGGGGTATTTCGAAAATTGAGGAGTAAAGTACTCGTCAAATATTTTTAAAAATTTAAATAACACAGAAAGTAAGATGGGTATCGTTTGGGGGGGTTGTTCATAAATGACGTCAAAAAGATATGGAGTGCAGCTAGTTAAATTGGGGCACTTAGGGTTCGTCATTTTGGACAGAAAGAGTTAATCCGACTATATTCAAAAAGTTATAAATTAGCGGTATGAAATCAAAGCATTCGACAAAGGTCATTTAATATCATATGACTCGATACCCTAGATTCTACTAAGCCTTAAACACCGCACCCTGTTAAAATATCTTTAAAAAAAATTACAAAAAGTTCTTTAAAAACAGACATCATTTATGAACAATTCCCCGAACTTGAGGAAAAGAATTGTCTTTTGGGTGATCGAGAGCACATTTGTAGACATTTCCATTCTTAGCTTTGTAGCTTTTTTTTTGTTGATTTAAGCAGATTTAAGCATCTCCATTCTTATTAAATTATGAACCAAAAAAGAAACTCAAAAAATTAATCAAAAATGAGATTCAAATGTCAAGAAAGAAATCATAAAATCCTCATTTCCATTACTTCTTTTAATTTTGTGTTCTTGTGTTGTATTTTTTTGTATAAGAAAAATAATTTTTTGTTTCATCTTTTTTTTCTGGATTTTTAGAAATTTTAAGCTAAATATATATAAACTTTACGATCCTCTGGTGTTCGTGCGAGATACTCTCGTTCAATTAATCCTTCAATTCGCTTCTTTATGATAACTGGTGAAGGCAGGAAGCGACTACGAAGTTGGGTAGTGACATCAGAAACCAAAAGGTTGTGCTACAAAATTATATATTCATGAATTATTATCAAATTAAATTCAAATTTGAGTTTTTTAATATTTACCGCAAGCTTTTTGCGTGATTTCATGATTCTAACAATTGCTGCCTCAATTTCATGCTTACGATCTTCGTCAACCTTATTTCTCGTCTCTCGACGCTCTGGCTCTGTTTCACCCTTTGCAGCGACTGTTTGAATCTTAACTCTAAAGGAATATAAAATTATATTAATTAGGTTATATCCAACAGTTTATAGCTAGGCATGCGATCATCATACTTGTGGAACTTTGACACAAATCCATCATTCACATAGAACTCATTAGATGGTTCAATTTCCTTCGTTTTCGGTGTTCGCATTAGTAATCGTTGCTGTAATTTTCCCATCGAAAGAGACTGCAATGCACGTATAAGATCCTTCTCGGGGATGTCTGTCTCTTGTTGAATCTCCTCGTATGACATTCGCTCGCGATTATTGAATAACATTAATACGCACATCTAAAGACGTAATCAAATTATTAACAGGAAACAAAAAAGGAATGTGATGATTTGTGAAAATTAAATAAGATTCGCTAAGCTTATAGGATATAAATTTGGGTTTGGATACATGAAAAATTATCTTCAGCCCACTTTTTAATGACTCGATATCATTTATGATAAGAAAGACCTAAATTACCTGATAAGTTGAAACTTGAAGAACATGTTTCCTTGTATGCAGCGACTGTGAACTTGTACATGTTCCAAGTTCCTTTCCATTGCTTCCAGCTTCATTATCAGTTTCTTGTTTAGTGCCATAAAATACGGCGTTAATGAATGCAGTTCCTAAAAGTTCAAATAATAAACTTAATAGTTCAAAAAGTAAAAGAAGTTGAACACTTACCAAGCTGTGGCTGTAGAGTTAGCTGTCGTCCTGAGTGTTTTGCTAGATAGAATCGCTTAAATGCGTCAAAAGCTTGACTTGGAGATATTGGAATATTGCAGTTTGGCGTCGATGATTGTGTTGGCCAAAATCCAGTTGTTAATATTCGCACACTTAAATCTACGCCGCTTAGTGTCATTCCTTGTAAACTCACATGATTCTTAAATTCTTCCATAATTGTATTTGACACTTGCATGTCCTTAAACATCCCCTCAAGTTTTGATGTAAATTGACATCCGCATTCAGTCTAAAATTGGAGGATATTGCGTTAAAAATGAGCATAATAGTACTGTATAATAATAGCATTAAGGTCCTTACCTTTAACTTTGATATCATATTCTTTTCGGAATCGTCACTAACGGATTTATTAAGCAGCAATCTCTTGGCTAAATGTGCTTTGTAATATCTCTCAAATACGTCCTTTTCAAGCAAATAACGGAACAGAACCATTGTCTTGTCCAAAATTGTTTCGATTTCTTGCTCAGACATCTAAGAAAAGTAAAAGAATAATCATAAACAATTTGTGAAACTAAACATCCAGTTCCTGTATGGTGTGACAACAATCTTAAAATTTCGCACGTTTCGTACCAAAAGTTTTGAGCTCTTTCTTGAAATAACTTCACGATCTTCACATTCATTTTCATTAAAAATCTTGATTTTAAAATTACAATCATGAAATAATTTCAAATTTAAATTAATGTAAAGTTTATGGATGAATAATAATAATGACAATTTTGACTTACTCCTTTGCATCCTTTCTTGAGCTTATCATCAATAAATAGCGATAAATATTCTGGCGATTTATTATTCAAATTTAAGAAATATTCAAAATCTGATGAAATCATGTGCTTAAATGTCTTCTCATAGTTAAATGAATGATGTAGGAAGTGATCGAATCGATCTTTCAAGTCGAGTAGATTCTGAACAAAAGTAATTGGATTTGTTCCACCTTCTTCTTCCTTTACTAACGACGTTCCTTGCTCCCGAAGATATCGACTAACACATTCAGATATTGTCTTAATTCCGTCCGTAACACGAGAGAATAATTTATACATGCACGCTAAATCGTCAGTTTTTGTGTTCCTCAGCATATAGACAACACCTGAATTCTCCATCTCGACAATTGTACGCATATGCTTCTTAATAAGCTCATCTTGAACAACATCAACAATCCGTTGCTCGGTACTCTCATCAAGATATAATTTAGCACGTTCAGCTTCTTCTGTAATGCGTGCTTCAACACGCTTTATATATACACTTGCGCTATTCTCTGATAAAAACTTTTGTGATTCCATTGCATAAAATGCCGCTGATTGAGTCAGGAATGGACGCTCAAAATCTTTCTCATATACCCAACGACTATTAATTCCAAGTATCATTAACATTTGACATGCATTTTTAATTAAAAGATGCTCAATTGCTTCACCTTTACGCTCATTCATAATCATCGATAATAATGTCTCGCGTAAATGATTTCTAATTCTTTCATGGCTAATTATCTCATCACGAAATATTATAAGACCTAAATTATAAACATTATCAACATCATTTTGTTGGACATAAACGCGATCCATATACATGAGTATATCTCGTATCATGACCATTGATGTTTGATGATCTGTCCATGCTTGATTTAATGTTTGCAGGAAATTATTATTTAATGCTCTCAACACATCCTCGCGGACTTTTTGCTGTAAATGATGTGTAACGACTTCCTTTAATCCATGATACAGTCTCTCGCCGTGCTTATGAAGGACCATTGTGTATGCATTTCGATAAAGTTCCTCAAATGATAATCCTGAATTGTTCTTTTTCTGTATCTCTTGAATTGCATTTTTGAGCAATGACCAAATTGATTCGACAAACTTTTCATCCATCGTCATCTATAAATATAATTTAAAATAAAAAGAGAGCATTAGTCGTTGTTCTCATTCTCTTATCAATTGTTCCCTAAAGTTAGAAACAAAAATCAATGTATTTGAAAAAGGTATGCGAATAAAGAGCGACTCTAATTATTTAAGGGTATCTATAGGCTAATGTTTAAGGTGGTGTCTAGCAGTAAATTGAAGTCTGGGACAATCTCTTAGATTCTTAAGGACCTTGACTGACTAGAAGAAATCCAATCATCCAAAAATCCAGATATTAAGCATATCCACCACTATAATGGAGAGCAGTCGAATGACATTCCAAATATGCAAATACTAACTCCATAATTAAATCTCGAATTTTCATAATCATACTCCCTAATCGGAAAATACTCTAGAAAATATCCTAATCTTTCGACTGCTTCTGGCTGCAACATTTTAAACCTTTATGCTAATTTTTGAATGGAGTTTTAAGTTGGATACACTGAAATTTACTTTAAAAACACCGAAAAAGATTGTAAAATTGATGATTCGATGATTTCTTAGACGTGAAAAAATTAAAGTCTCATCATGTTTTATGCAACTTTAATAGATAAGATTACAACAACAATAATAAGCAAGGTATTGAAAACTTACAGGAAATGCACGAATCCTCATCTTTCCTTCCTTTTTCTGTGGTGGTTGTCGATTCATCATGAAAGCTTTCTAATATTCTTTATATGCTTAATTTATGTTGGATGAAGCAAATCAAATCCTATAAGTTAATGAATAGCCAACGCAAATAGTATGGCCTATATTCTTGTTGTGTCGACGACAGGAACAAAAAAAATCAATTAATAGCTACCACAAATATTTATTGAAAATCATAAACGAAACTTTAAAATTACAGATTCTTTTATCTCTCAAATTTTCACATTCTTTATTAACCGTTGTACTGCTTATTCAGTCAATTAATTATTCTTTGTCGCAAATCTTTTACTTTCACTTGTTTTAAATTTTTTTTTTTGTTCTTTTTGTTTTTTCTCTAATCCAGAAAAACTTTATGCCTTAAATTCTATTAATTTCCTGATTATTACACAAATTGCTCGTGATTAGAACTCTTAATCATTGTTAATTCATTGTATTTAAAGCTTTTATGCCTTAATTAAACACTTATTGATGGATTTTATCGCGATTAGTCTGTAAATTTGATGAATTTTTACAAAATGTAGGGTTTTCATTGGTCAAAAACATTTGGATGGGTTCTGATAGATATTTTCTTCAAGGGATGTTTAAAGTTTAAAAATACGTTAATTTAACTTTTTATAGATAATAGCAGCTTGGGATAAAACTAGCGTAAGTAACGTAGTGTTAGTCAAAAACACATATACATCACATTTTTTTTGTGACTGTGTGCGTAAAATTTTCAAATCTCAAAAATTTGACAGTTATTGTTTCACCACGTGACTTAATTTTAACAAATTTATTAAATCAAATATTATTAATCAATACATTCTTTTGAAAATCTAGCAATTATGTTGGTAATTTAAAATTGTTCATTGCTTTTCAATAGTTTTACTACGGCACACAGTTTTGAACATTTCGGTTTTTTGATGAAAAATTCCAAAAAAGTAATCCAAAGAATTGCCCAATACAGAATCATAAAGCTCCCTCTTGCAATATGCATAGTTTTGCATCAATTGCCTTAAAGCAGACCTAATTTCCTTCGACCTTAGGATATTTGTTGCCTTCACAGATGAGTTGAGTTTTTAATCCAATTTAGTGCAAACCATATAAACATTTTAATTTGGTTCTTAACTTTCATAAATCATATTCTATTTAAGGAATCTGTTACGTCTACATTTCTTAATTATGAGAAAAATTGTCTCAACAATTTTATCCAACAATTCATCTTTTTGTCGTTCGTAAAGTTCCAAATCTTTTTTTTATGCAATAACAATGTGTTTGATCCGAATAAATTATCTTGAATGCTTTTAAGCTGTTGCTTTATAATTTTAACATAAGCTTTAAAATTTTCATTATTTCACGCTCCAATTGATTTATTTCTCTAATGAGACTGCCTTCCTTCTTGCTTTACTGATGCAATAATGACCAAAGATGAAAATCAGCACAGACTCACTGTTTTTGAGTGTTCAGAATCACGTTTTACATCCTTTTTAACAGACTTTGGACAGTCCTCGGAATCAATTTTCTCACAAAAACCTTCGTCGACTGAAAAATTAAATAAATTTTATTGTGTGTTCTTAGAACAAATATTTTAAGGCATTTTTGGCACGCATAATATAACAAAAACAACATTTATCGGCATTGCAATTACAAATTAAAAGAAAAATGTGATGAATGTTTAATTCATTATTGTTTAATGTTTGATTTTAAGCTCCTTAAGAAGTGGAGTGAAATTTTAATTTTATCGGATTTTGATTTTTTTTTTGAATTATCTGAGACTCAAACCTTTAAAGTCACGTATTTTACACGCTTTTATATATTTAAAACTTAAATTTACATGACACTTTTTGAATAACGTATTTTAGGAACATCCGAGGCTCAAACTATTTGAGACAAATTTTTGAAAATTTGACCAAATTTGCAATATTCCAAGCTAATTCCCCCTGAAATTGTATGAATTTTTTAAGAATTTCGTTAAAAGTCGTTAACATTATTTTTTAATTAATCACAAAACTTAATTTTATTCACCTAAGTAAATTAGCTATTAATACTGATAAAGATCTTTCCATTTTGCAAATGATTCCTTTTTATTTTCAAATAAACTTTAAATAGGTATTTTCTTAGGACTTGAGCTGATTGGATTTGTCAAACTTATGTACAAAATTTTCTTTGAAAAAACACAAAACAAAAAGTCTTAAGGCGACCACGATTGTACAGGAACAGACAGACATCATTTGATCAATGATTTTTGATATATATTAAATACAACTGCTTTATACGAATCTTGATATCTTCTTGTGAATTAAAATTATTGCCTATATTTAAGGTGCACAAAAGTGACATCCAATCAGCCTCAACTTCTTTGCTTATATTTTCTAGGTTCCAGCACATTATTCCTTTAATTTGAAGTATTTATCCCTAACTTCTTCGATTGTATCGCACCAATGCAATGCTCCACCTTCTGGATCTTCTAGGTAATATATTCGATTTGGCTGGAATTTGTAAGGATGGAATCAAATTAATTTTGTTGAATTTAGACATACAGCAAAATTCTAAGGATGCAAAACTGATTAATCAAATTTTAATCAATTCCACATCCAATAATTAATATCTTAGATTCTGTCAAGGATCAATCAACTACCAACTTACCGTATGAACAAAAAATATCTTAAAATTTCTACGTTCACAAGTGAGTGATGAGTCAAAGGGTATTTCTCCTTTCTTGACATTGGCATGAGCATCGATATAGATCAGACGTGGCGTACTTGTGAGCAACAACATTCGTCTTCGAGAAAATAATCCTTTACGTTTATTTATGAAGCCATGTTTGATAATGTATTCATTTTCTTCCACAAACTCTGACCAATGTAAGTTGGTCTTTTGATCTTCTAGTAATTTCTTCAGCGAGTCTTGATCTGTAAAGTTAAAAAAAAAATTTATTTAAAGGTTTTGGAACAGCATGTGACTTAAGCTGAATTCTGAGAATGATGAATCACACTTACTTGAACTTGAATTTGACGCTAAATCCAATTGTAATATTCTATTCATTTGACTCTCTCCCAAGCCTGTCTCAATGTCATCAGAAATGTGGAAATTGTCCTTTTTAATTTCCGACAAGAGCAACAACGGAGATGTTTGAGAAAATATGTTGTCAAAGTCTATCGATTCAAAAAACTCGTGATTTCTTATTGATTTGTAAAGCTGATCTTTGCCATCTGTTGCGCCTAGTCTCTTTTCTGGATCAACGATTAGTAATTTTGCTATTAAGTCCTTTGCTTGATGATTCATATTATCGGGAAAGTGATAATCCATATTTTGAATCTTTTGAAATACCATATACTCATTTTCACCGTTGCTTCCAAATGTTGGCTTCTTACAAATAAATTCATAGAGAATGCAAGCATAGCTGAATAAGTCTGTTGAAAATAATGATTTTTTGCCTTTAAGGATTTCAGGTGATACATATAAAGCAGTTCCAACAAAACTTTCTCGACGTTCCTTTCTCTTCTCTTTTGGATTGTTATTTTGTCCATCGTCATCTTCGTTGATGCTATGACTTAGATGATTATGATGAATGTCTTCATCTTGTAAGATTTTTGAACTGCCTAAATCACCAATCAATAAGTGCATATTTGAATCTAGGAACAAGTTTTGAGGCTTAAGATCTCTGTGAATAATGTTTTTCTTGTGCATTCCTTCAATAGCTTTTAGTAGTTCTGCAGCATAAAATCTTGAACAATCGATGTTCATTAAGTCTATATAGTGGAGGATTTCACCGTTCTTGGCAAAGCTCAATACGAAAAATAGATATTTAGATGATTGAAATGTACACACAAGTTTAACTATGCCTGTTGTGTTACTGAGTCTTAATAGGGCTGTTTTCTCTCTTTTGATATATTCTTGCTTCTTTTCACGAAATATAAAGGCCTTTTCACATACTTTAACTGTAATTAAACATGGATAGAATCAAAGGTCTGTGTAATAAATCTAATTATTGCTAATTGTTCAGCTGGATGTTTAAATCAAATGTAGAGCATAAAATGTATCAAGATCAGTAAAATTTTGTCTGGATCAAGCAAAACATCTATAAAACAACAAGATTGATATGAAGGATGATACTTACTTGCATATTGCTTATTAGAATTAACATCTTTAGCCAAATATACTGTTGAGAAGCTTCCCTATATCCAATTAATAAATAAAAATAAACATTTTAAGGAAAATTTCAATATTTTTCTTTTTTCACTGAAAATTCGTCTTATTTCATTGTTATTCACCTCTCCAATAACTTTTGCAAATATATAGTTATGTTCACTCATGATTTTAGCATAATATATCTTATTAACTGCTCAATTAATGGCAAATTTAGTGAACAAAGTTAAAATTGGGATTTCCACGAATGAAAACTTTTTTGTAAACAATGCAAATTTGAATGTTTTTTAACCGTTATAGATGTGAAATTATAGAGGTTAATATTCGAACAGAATCAAATTATAGAGGGTTTTAGTCAAGTAGATTACACGTAAGAAAATTGTTGACAACAAAATCAGAATTTCATTAATTACACTGTAAATACGCTTGAAGGAACCAAAAAAAGCATTTTAAAATGTCACTAGACACTCAAGATTTCTATCTACGATATTATATTGGACATAAAGGAAAGTTTGGACACGAATTTTTGGAATTTGAATTTAGACCTGATGGAAAATTGAGGTAAACTACCGCAAAATCAGCATTTATCAACAAATAATACTTTAATTAATGTGTTACAGATACGCAAATAATTCCAACTATAAGAATGACACAATGATCAGAAAAGAGGCCTATGTTCATACATCAGTATTGCAGGAATTGAAGCGCATCATTCAAGATTCTGAAATTATGGCAGAAGATGACAGCTTATGGCCTCCAGCAGATCGAGTTGGTAGACAGGAACTAGAAATTCTGATTGGTGACGAGCATATCTCATTCACAACATCGAAAATTGGTTCATTGTTGGATGTTGATCAGTCAAAAGATCCAGAAGGCTTAAGATTGTTCTATTATCTTGTGCAGGATCTGAAATGCTTGGTATTTTCGCTCATTGGATTACATTTTAAGATTAAGCCAATATAAATCTATTTAAATGTCCAATTTATTATCACTTAACTTACAATAATATAATAACTTGATTTTGATTACTTTAAATATTCGTAATTCCATTCTTTTCGAAATTATCCAGAAGTAACTGTAAATTCTGATCAAATAATTCGCACCTTAATGGTTGCTCGAGTGAATAAAACGGATTTTTCAATGCATAATCTGAATACAGCTCATAAATTTTCTTCAACAGCACTTCCACTCCAGTCTGCAAATAGTCATAAATTATAGTACTTTATACTTAATATGAGTAACTGAGAGCTACCTGAATGGGTTCAGCAACGACCATAAATTTAACACCAGTTAGTGTCTGAAAGCAGTGCAGTCTAAATGTATCAGCTTCGAGTATTTGGATTCCTGAACTTTTTGGTTCAGGCGATAATTGACTAGCAATCGCAAAAAGTGGATAGAACATTGACGCTAGGAAAATCTTCTCATTTGTTGTCATTCTTGGTCGACAAAATCGTAGATTAAGTGGATAGTTTTCCTCCTTTTCGAGGATTTCCTTCACTTCCTTTCCATCTTCCAGTAAAGTTCCATTAACTTGCGTTCCGTTTACAGCCATCAAATGATGCCCAACTAAAGGATGAATTTTATTCAATTACAAAATTATTGCATGTTTCTGACTGCAACTTACCAAAAATACCATCCCGCTGTCCAAAAACAACAGTAATGAATTTCTTATCAAAGTCTAGTTTAAGATCGAGTGGATAACTAAAGGTTTTCTCTGTTTCTATACGTGGCACGGAATGATCGTGATGAAATATCAACCCTCCTGACTTACTTACAATATAAACTCCATAAATCATGTCTGTGGACTGCTTTATTATGCTGGAATTAAGATTTTTAAGGAATTTTTGAGATTCCAAGAGAATTTTCACTCAAAAATATCAACAAAACGAATTCAAATCTTTTATAACCGTTAAACATAATATCATGAAATTTATAGGTTTAGGGCATGTGAAGGGCATCAGGTAAGTATTCTCGAGAACTGTAGAAATTTAAAGAAACTTTTACGGAACAGAATTTTTGGGATGAGTCATATATTGACTTCCCACCTATTTTCATGCGGAAGATACTCATCCAAATTATCAATAAAACAAACCTGATAAAACCAAAACATCACTCTTCATTTGGTTACACTGCAAACAAAATTAAGTAGGCACAAGCAGTAGACACAAAAAATAGGAAAAGAAAATTCTGTTCATATTTAGCCGTAAATTCTATTTCCTGATGACATTGAATATTCGCAAGCAAAACTTCCGTTTCGCATGTGTCTTATGTTTAGGATTTCCATAAAAGATCCAATTAATTTTGTGACCAAGCCTTCCTTGTTACTAGCCATTCAAAGACTTAATACGATGAGATTTATTAAAAATGCTCAAGAAACTTACAAGATATATTTCGCAAATATTTACGATACACAAAAGACTCTATCTTCGGAAGTATAAGCACGTCTATACGTTAAATGTGTAGTGACATATTTTACATTTCATCATCTCAAGTTGTTTTCACATGCAAATGTTGACAATCTCTTTGTATTGGCTGTTTACTGTTGATGCTTAAATATTCTTATTGCCATTATTAAAGTTGACTTTGTTTGGTGAAGACGTTCATTCTGTTTAGTTCCATAAATAGATTTTGAAAAATATGAAGCTTATAGTTTTGTTATTAATTGCTATTATTGCTGTCATCGTTCCTTCGACATCACATGTGATCAAGAAAAGATTTCTTTTTAACAAATTTCGTCCACGTAAGTTTAAATGGCATTCTGATCATCGTTTAACCTTTTTGCTATATCCCAAACCTCAATAAAAATCATAAAGTATTGAATAATTAAGTTTTTGTTATTTTTAGATGGTTATGGATATGGATATGGCTATCCAGTAATTCCAGCATATCCTGTAGTTCCTATTGCTCCTATAGCTCCTATTGCACCCATTGGATTTGCGGGCCCATTTGGAGGAGGTTTCGGACCTTATGGTGGTGGATTTGGTCATGGATGTAGGTTTCTATCAATTTATTAAAAAAAAATACTTTGAATTCTTAGAACTTTTATCTTTAAAGATTCTTATGGCTACGCTGGAAGCTATGGATATGGAGGGTTTGGCAAGTGAAAGAACTTAATTTTAATATTCTAAGTCAGCTTGTATATATAGCTTTAAATTATTGCCTGAAATAAAATAAGAGATTAACAATACTTCCTGTCCTTGAAAGAGTTTGAGTATACAGATATTTTAATACCGGTCAAATACCTTGGGAAACGCTCGACAAGCAAAATTTCATCATCTATCTCTCTCCACTCGGACAGAAATGTGTAATGAACTAGACTTTAAATTTTTGTCTCTTATGGATTCCCTGACATTGAAATTTCTCTTAGCTCGGAATGTAAAACAAACTTATCCGAGACGTCTCATGAATAATATTCAAAATGGAAATGATTCATTCATATAGACTATAGTTAAAACTGCAGATGAAAAATAGTTTTGATTTATTGGAAGTTCCGAATTGAGCTGCAAATCATATCCAAAGGAAAATTAACAAAATAAAATTTAATCTAGTTGTAAAGTTTTCTGCGAAATCAAATCGATCGAAATGAATGCTAAGCGAGAATCAATGATTTAAATCCCATAAGCCATAACAAAATGTGGTTTGGAAAATGTCAGGTCAATTGAGCGATTTTCTGAACATTGATGATGACGATAAAGTTTTCAATTTAGAACATTTTCTACAGCTATCATGCAAAACATCATTTTCAATTCATCAATATTCTCAATCGATGTCATAAATTAACAAGTGATGAAGTAGTTCTCTTGGCATCGAATCATGTGGATATGACTTTTATTTTTCGATTTACGAGAAGATATTTCACATGTCTCTATTCGTTCCCTGTTCCCATTTCGTAAAGTTGAAATTTAATTTTCAATAAATTTTCCACTAAATGAATTTTATTACACAACTCAAGGATTGGCGACAAAAGTTGGGATTCTAGTCGAGATCTGGATATAAATTTATAACCTTAAATTTTCAAAAGTCACAATTTGATTTGATTTAATCCCGGCTTGTTTCACAACCTGATAAAATACAGCAGCAAATATTAATCAATTCTATACTGTCAACATCCTAGTTCATTCATTTACAGTCATGTATGCGAAGCTTCAACTCGGATTATCGAAATACAATGGGTTAGAAAATTAAAGTGCTTCGGAATCGATTAGAAATTGAAGTAAATTCAAACATGCTTCGTTAAATATCAATCTCACATTTATTTGATCCTTCAACAGGAGAAACGGATAGAAGTGAATGAAATAATAAAGACTTGAAAAGTACGTAATACGATTGAGTTTTCTAGTGATGTTTTAATATTAAACTTGATATTGTACTTTTATGTATCTGGGATTATCATTCGTATGGCAACAATACGAAAAACTTATTAAAACAAGCACGTAGTAAAATGCACTTAATAATTTTACAACTGGTCATAAAGATAAGTGCTGGGAAATACTCAAGAATATTATGCTAAAATTCAATTATTGGATCCGAGAGAATAATCAAGAGTTTAAGACTGCTTGATAATAATAACGATGTGAAAAGCTACATGCACAATATTTTGAAAAGTTTATGAATAGCAATGCGAGTTGAACTTAAATGAACTTAAACTGTTGAGGATTTCTTGAAATTTGTTTACTGCGTGTTATTTGAGGTTTTTGGATTTTGGATTCGATTTAGCATCTAAAAATGAAGCTTTTGGGAAGTTTTAAAGTAACTGAAAAATCCTCGGAAGTCGTGAATATGATATTGAAAACTAATCTAGATACCTGAGTAAGCCTTAATTATAAAACATCAATGACATTACTAAAATACTCTACATTAGCAATGAATCTATTATCTTCTACTATTTTACTTTTTTATTCAAAATTAGCACAAAATTAGCACTCAACTTAACATCACTTAATCTATTCATTGAATTCTCCTTCAAATAATCTCCTAAATATCATAAATTCATTCCAATCGATGATAGTGATTGATTAACTGTTGAAAAGCAATTTATTGTGGTTAAATTCAATATTCAATCATTAATGTTCCAATAAAATTGAGGCAATAAATTTACAGTTCTGTTTGGAATCAAAAATCCGTAGATATTCTATATTCTATAATTGATTTTCACATTCAGTCTGTAAATAAGATTTAAATGTTTACGCAAATAAATAGATTAAAGGCGGTTGATAATGAAATTGATTGACAAATAATCAACAGTAAATCATCATTTGATTTACGTCGTACTGAAATGTTGAATTGCAGGCTTTACTTTGGAAGCAATAAAGAAAATCCTTTTTTTAATTTCATCACCAATAGTCGAGTAAAATGATTTGAGTACAGGATTAAATTCGATTGTTCCATAAATTTCTTCAGCAGCATTAAATAAGGATGAAGGATGATATGACACAATAGTACACAACTAAATTGAATTTCATATAATTTTCTTTGTATTTGAAATTATGGCACAAGGTATGCAATCAACAGTCATTTGTTGAATAAATCTCACGTGCAAGAGCATGAAGTAAATGTATAGTGTTGATCAGATAAAAGATTCTGCAACAGAATTAAAATTAATCTTCTTTCATTTACAAGCAGTTTTTAAAGCAAGGAGGATGTAGTAAGTCACAGTTTGTCTATTAAAATAAATCATTCATTGTAATTTGTAGTTGCAACTTACTTTGATGAATGTTCATGTAAAATAAGCTTTTTATAAAAAGTAAAGCTTTGTTCATAGATTAGAACAAGCTTTAAACATTGCAACATTTGATAATGTAAGCTGATCATATCAGTATGTAGTCTCTTAAATAAATAGAAAAATAAGTTTTAAATTTTAAACATTAAGTGAGATTAAGTGCTGTTGCTGGTTTGAGCTTGTAGGCTTGATTGAAATCAAACTTTTGGTTACTTAAATTTAAGATTTTGAGTCTCTAATTTCTAATCTAAATTTAAGATTTAAAATCTCTAATTTGAAAACGATCGAGAATGATTTAATATGATCAAAAATAAGTTTATCAGTTCCACATTCATGATTTGATTGGAGGGTTTCTTAAAATTTACAAAAGTTTTAATTTTTAATTGCATCAAAACCAAGCAAAACTCAAATTATCGAAAAAATCAACCAACTTAGTGTCCAACCTAGATTAAACAAATATAATTAATTACTGCATCTACAAACTTAACTACAGTTTTGAACAATTTTAATCTCAAAGCGAAGCACTATCCAAAAACTTTTTATCCTAGTTGTCTGAGGCAAAAAATAAAAGAAAGAAAAATATTAAGCCTTTAATTCACAACATAATGCTCTAGCAAATGTTTCTGAAATAACTAAGCACCCCAAAATTTATCCTCTTGCTTACATGCAATACTTGTGTGAACGTATGGTATATGCTCCAAAAAGTCTCGTTATTCACAACACTTTATATACGAATGAATATTGCATTGTTGGTTTTATGGTTAAAAGCAACACCAAATCAGTGTGAAGTGAGATTTTTTCCTAAATGAAGTTATTATGCTTATAAATTATTTCCCATGAATACACTTTGTTTCCCCGGTCATATTATGCATCAATAATTGCTACAATGTAAGTATCATTATTATGTTATATTCTAATGCTGCATCGACTGTGTTGATGGAAGGAAATGATGACTAACAAGCAGTATCTAAGGTAAACAAGATTACTTGGATATCTTCATCGTCAATTTTCAAGACTGCAATTTTAATTTTATGGAAGTTTTACACTAGTAAGTTCTAAGCGAACCCACAATGTGGACGAATTTCTATAAATATTTTTCTGTGCAGTCTGAAAATGCTGTAAAAATTTGGGGATTTTAAGTATAATATTTTATTAACCACGATTCTTTTACAACTATTAGTGCTTCTACATAAAAGGATACAATAATTAAATGACTCCAGTGGATACAAGAGGCTTCCAGCAGCCTCTATCCTATCGTTTCTATGATTCTCAACCATATTTAATGTTTTATGGATTTTATGTATGAGATTCTATAATCTCTCACCCATTTGCTTCCCATCCTACATATCTAAAAGAATAAAAAGAAAGAAAAGTTTCTATAAATCACAGTATAGCATGGCAGTACAAGAGAGAAAAGTTTTTTGTTGAAAAACACACATAAAATGTGTTATAATATGTTGCTAACTCTATGGCAGGCACTGACTGGCTTATGATGGTGTAACAAATGTATAGAGAGAGGGATAAGACCTCATACACACATATTTTATTTATTTCATACAATATTTTTTATTGAATATCATATTCCTTAAGATTTTTTGAACATTAAGTTATGTTGAAGACAACAAAATGTACAAAAGTTATGCCATAAATTTTCACACAGATTAAAATCAAAATATGATAAGAAATGGAAATAAAAAATATCATCGACTTCGCTCGATTCCCACCGTGCACGTCGCGAAACTGAAGCTCATTCGAAACAAATTACATTATCTACCGTTGAATTCATGAAAATGTGAATCGTGACCACATTGCTGATGTTTTTAAAGGCTGTGAGATGCATGTATATTGCTATATGTTGGTGGTAAGTTAGTGGTTTTGCATGTGAAAATTTTCGAGGATGTGCTGCATCTTTAATGGGAATTTTTTGAGTTTTATATAAAAATTGAGAATCTAGCAGCTTAGTCTCGTTGAAAGTTGATGATAAATCCATTTTTGGATGTAGATCTATACTTAACTTATATTTTATCTATGCCTAGTTTAAACCCAACGTATACCTAACCCTTATCAAACCTATTCCTTATCTATTTATCAAGCATACTCATTCTTAACATATTGCAGGAAACTTAATACAGTTTCATAGAGTCTAAAGTGTCTATACCTCACAAATCAAAATTTATTCTAAAATCATTTTCATGCTACTGTCATCTATCTCATTAAGAAGTAACATTCCAAACAATAATCATAAATTTCTACAATAAACGCTTAATAAAGACATTTAAAACTAGTGTATCGGGTAGAAACCCAATGCGGATATATTCACACCGTACCATCAAAAGTCTTATGGATAGACCAAGATTTGCTCAGCATAAGTTTGAAGAGTGGGCGTGAAGTACGGCCGAGACCCATATCGACACAGTTCAAAAGATATACCTAATTTATGTCATAATTATGTCAGCTACAAAAACACTTAGTTTGAATTTTGTCACCCTCGGCAACACTATGAACCAGTATAGCTGATTTTGGTCCAA